GAGGAAAATAGTATAAGGCTACTAGATGACCTAGACAAACTGAATGAATGGTCCAACAAATGGCTACTAAAGTTCAACCCAAGTAAATGCAAGGCGATGAAACTAGGCGGAGGAAATAAGAAGCCAAACACTGGATACCGAATGGGAGATGAAGTCCTTCATGACACGGACAGAGAAAAAGATCTAGGGGTTGATATCACCCCAAAGAAGTCTCCTGAATACCACATATAAAGAATAACATCAGCGGCGTATGCGAGGCTGGCTAACATCAGAACTGTCTTCAGAAACCTGTGTGAGGAATCCTTTAGAACCTTGTTTACCACATATGTAACACCAATCCTGGAGTATGCGGCCCCAGCATGGAGTCCATATCTTGTCTTGCACAAGACGAAGCTGGAAAAAGTTCAGAGGTATGCCACTAGACTAGTCCCAGAAATAAGAGGCATGGGTTATGAGAAAAGGCTGCGTGAACTGCACCTCACGACACTGGAAGACAGACGATCTCGGGGAGACATGATCACCACATACAAAACTCTCAAGGGATTTGACAGGGTAGACAAGGATGGATTATTTAACACTGGTGGTACACGCACAGGGGGACACAGGTGGAAGCTGAGTACCCAAATGAGTCACAGTGACGTTCCAGTGTCAGAGTAGTTAGTAAATGGAATGCACTAGGAAGTGATGTGGTGGAGGCTGACTCCATACACAGTTTCAAATGTAGATATGATAGAGCCCAGTAGGCTCAGGAACCTGTACATCAGTTGATTGACGGTTGGGAGGCGGTTATCTTGAGATCTTGAGGTTATTTTGAAATGATTTGAGGGCTTAGTGTCCCCACGGCCCGGTCCTCGACCAGGCCTCCATCCCCAGGAAGCAGCCCGTAGCAGCTGTCTAACTCCCAGGTACCTATTTACTGCTAGGTAACAGGGGCATCAGGGTGAAACAAAAATTTTGCCCATTTATCCCCGCCTCCACCGGGGATCGAACCCGGAACCTCAGGACTTCGAATCTGAAGTGCTGTCCACCCAGCTGTCAGGCGGGACCAAAGAACCAGAGCTCAACCCCAGCAAGCACAACTAGGTGGTTGAATACACAGCCATGGTGGTGGACCACATAACCTCTCCCACTCAACTCACTACTTCAGCCTAAAGTGAATTTTTGTCCCGTCTCTCTATTCCTCTCCTTTTGTCTTTTTAATACAATAAGTTAAGATCTATCTTCGTATCTCTAACAAAATATCTTCAGTCCTTCCATCTCTATTCTCCCTCTATCTCTCTTCTTTCCTTCCGTCCCCTCATCTCTTTACCTCTCCTCTTTCTTCCTTTCCCCTATTTCTGTGTCTCTTTTTACTTCCTCTTTTACTCTTCTCCTTGCCTCTCCTCTTTCCTCTTTTACCCTCTCTGCCTTTCTTGTTTCCTCCCTTCCCTATCTTTTTCCCTTCTTTCCTTCTTTACTCTCTCTCTCCCTCTCTCTCTCTCTCTCTCTCTCTCTCTCTCTCTCTCTCTCTCTCTCTCTCTCTCTCTCTCTCTCTCTCTCTCTCTCTCTCTCTCTCTCTCTCTCTCTCTTTCTCTCTCTCTCTCTCTCTCTCTCTCTCCCCGACATTCTCACTCATTCCTCCGCTTTTCCCTCTAATGTCTTCTGGGCCGTCTGGTAATTTACTCATTTTCCAACAATTCATCATGGAATAGCGACGATAATTTACATAAGTGGCATCTGCAGCGCCTTTGCAGTCTCTCCCATGCTCTCCTAACCTCTCCCAGCGTCTCCCAACCTCTCCCAGCGTCTCCCAACCTCTCCCAGCGTCTCCCAACCTCTCTCAGCGTCTCCCAACCTCTCCCAGTGTCTCCCAACCTCTCCCAGCGTCTCCCAACCTCTCCCAGCGTCTACCAGTCTCTCCCAGTCTCCAAGTCTCTCTCTCAGCCTTCTTTAGGCACTCCCAGCTTACAGACACCTCACGATGTTTATTCTTATTCATATTGTTGCGTTGCTTTTCTTCGTTTTTTTGTCTGTTGCTGTTGATGTTATAAAAGCTGTTGTTATCAATGCGTTTGGGGTTGTTGCAGCATCCCTACAACTTTTTCTGTCCCTCTTTTCCCTCTCCTGCTCGCTTCCCCTTTCTCCCCTCTTCTGCTTCTCTTTTCTTCTCCCCCTCTCCTGCTTCCCCTCTTTGCATTCTTCTTCCGCATTCCTCTGCGTTTCTCCCTACACCCTTCCTCTACCTGCCTACTCCGTATGCCTCCTCTGTTCCCGCCTCTACACCCCTCCCCAGCATTCCTCTCCCACAACTTTCCTACCCCGCCCCTTCCAATTCATCATACCTCTGTTTCCTTTCCTTCCCATCAAACACCTGTCTCCCCCCATCCTCCCTCAACCTCTCATGCAACGCTTCCTTCCTCTCTCACATATTAAACACCTGATCATTCCCAGTCTACATCAGATGTTTGCTCTCCATCTCATACAACCTTCCCTTCCTTCCCATCCCCAACACGTCACATCTGTGCTCCTCCGTCACACACACACATCAAAATACTGTCCCATTCCCCCCCCCCCCCCACACACGTCAATATCCTCTACCCTTCTCTCCTAGCCGTCAATCCCCCATGTTTCCGAAATATCAAAACCTCTTTCCTCCGTCCCATCCGCATGTCATATTCTGCTCCGTCTCTTTCTCAGTAATGTTTCACTCCTCCTTGTCCTCACCTTTTGCACCTCTCTCTCTCCCCTCACTTCCACACCTAATCGCACCTTTAGCCTACCTACCTTTCCCCTTCCTCGTCACCTAACCAATCGCTCCCCTCGCCCCCCCACATACCAAGTACCGTGGGTGGGTTAGGGTTGGGAGTGGGGGGCGGCCTACCCCCAGGTATTGATCGGCAGGTCCGGCCGCCCCCCACTGCCTCATTCCCGGTATCCCGGGCTCTCCTTCCTCACCTTACGCTGGTGGTTCCTTGAGGTTTTATATTTCCTTTCCGTATTCTATTGAGAATAATTATAATATGCAGCTGTTCTTTTTTGTTTACCGTGTTTTCTTCCTTTTCCAGCTTTGTATAATTCTGGGACGTTCACTTGTTTCGCGTTTGTGTGTTGCATTTATAGTTTCTGCGATATTCACTTGTTTCTTGGTTTGTTTTTCTCTTCCGCTTATAGTTCTGGGGTGATCTCCACTTCCGCATATAATCACGAGATGGTCATTTGTTTCCTTGACTAAACTTCTCATCAGTTAGAGGATTCAGTGAGGGGTTTTAAACGTCATTTAGATTCCACAGAGGAGAAGAATTCCGCAAATGAAACCGTGAAAACTTTTCAGCAGCATTTTATGATTAGATTTATGAGCAAAGTTAAGGAGGAACCCGTGTTTACTTTTTGTAAACAAGATTTCTTAAAGGATTAAACGCTTAAGCTTGAACATTACAAATATATTGGTGTCTCGGAATGTAGCTTATTGTTTTTAAAAGCTCATAGCTGTAATTATAACAACTTACACAGTTATCAAACATTTGTAACTAATAGCACATATGTCAATGATATCATTGATGCAATTTTACAAGGATATTTCGGCAAAGATTTCATATATAACTGATATAACTTGCGAGGATATCCCAACAGTAACTTAGTTAACGAGTTATAATTAAGATCTTCCAAAATAACAAAACCCAACACTAAATATTACTAATAAAAGATACCGCCTTGGCATGTGAACAAAATAATTCATTCAGATGTGACTTATCAATATCATTATATAAATGTATATCTAACATAAATAACATATCCCATGACAGTCATTCATGCAGGATGTGAGTGTGTTACTCATCTTGGAGAATGAGTAATGTCGGACTATGGTAACGTAAAACTCAACGATGGACATTACTAATAATGTTACTAAACATTTCTTTTCGGTAAACTCATGTCTTTTGTTTACTTTTTAGATCGTAAAGTTTACTAAATCTAAAACGGAAGAGATCGCGACACTGGCTCTGGGCCGCTTCCGTCTGCTGCCTGGTGATTGGGCGGGTGAAATACCCACACATATTAGGTGGGCATATCAAGGGTAAAGTGGGCTTATCAGGGGTAAGGTGGGCATCATATCAGGGGTAAGGTGGGTTGGGAGGTGAGACTGGCGAAAACATTAATATATCCCATGATATGCAACATTTTCGTGTTCTGGGTGCATTTAAAATTTCATTGTTCACGGGAGACTGAAGAAATTAATCAAACGAAATAAACACACACACACACACACACACACACACACACACACACACACACACACACTGTTATATACATATTACATACAAATAACTTCTCCGACAAACACATAAAGATTAATAATATACTAGAATCACTACTTCTCATTATAATATAATAATGTATCAATTTATGAGCATACACTCTTTCTTGGGCCCGAGTTACTCACAACGTCTCAAGTGCCCACCGCCAGGACCATTACTTCGTATTTTCGTCCTTCTTGGAGTTGAACTGAAGGAATTATTTATGCATGTCCCGAGCGCTGTGAACTTCCTGTCGTTCACTTCTGAAAAGTTATGCTGATCGTATTCCCTATAGGAAGTTGTGCCCCCCCCCCCAAGAGACGACTGGACTCCCTGTGCTCGTGTACTGATTCATTTACATCAGCCCCAAGGGAATATGGTGGTATATTATAGCAGAGTCTCCTCCATATATATTTATATTCTCATTTTCAGCATTTTATAGTTTCAGTATTTCTGCACGACTAATATTTTTGTACCTGTGTATCTCGGATAGTGTTGAGTATCATTCGTATTAGTCTAGAATGTGGTGGTAATATATTTATTTTTATATAGATGTTAAACCGCCCTTCATTTTCTGTTACTCCTAATTCACCACCTCCATTTTCTTTTGCTCCTGCAAATTCACCACCTCCTCGCTTTTCCGCTTCTTCTCGTCTATGTCACGCTCCTTGTCGTCCTGGTGGACGCCTTCCTCGTGCCCAACTGACCGGTCATGTGTGTGTGCCGCAGGTGACGTTGGTCAAGTGGAACGAGCCCTACCAGAAGCTGGCGACGTGCGACTCGTCAGGGATCATCTTCGTCTGGATCAAGTATGAGGGCCGCTGGAGCATCGAACTCATCAACGACCGCAACACTCCCGTTACCCACTTCTCCTGGAGCCATGACGGCCGCATGGCACTCATCTGCTACCAGGTCAGTGTGGCCCTCCCTGGCACTACGAGGTCCAGTGTGGCCCTCCCTGGCACTACCAGGTCCAGTGTGGCTCTCCCTGGCACTATACCAGGTCAGTGCCACCCTCCCTGGCACTATCAGGTCAGTGCCACCCTCCCTGGCACTACCAGGTAAGTGCCACCCTCCCTGGCACTACCAGGCCAGTGCCACCCTCCCTGGCACTACGAGGCCAGTGCCACCCTCCCTGACACTATCAGGTCAGTGTGGCCCTCCCTGACACTACCAGGTCAGTGCCACCCTCCCTGGCACTACCAGGACCGGTATCACTTGCATTATAAACATCAGAGGCAAAAATTAGTATTAAGTAGGCAGAGTAAGTGAAACGTGGTGGGACAAACACGTAGGGTTTTTACCAATTTTCTTAAAGCCATTAAACTGGCTTTAACAAATTCCTTGTGAACGTTTTCATTGAATTTGTGAATGGGTAAGTAAATAAGTGAGTGAATAGAATGTATGAGTGAATAGAGTAAATGTGTGTTAGTAATCCATTTATGTCAGGATATAATGTACTTCTTGGGTAGTGCTTCTTGTAGAAATTCCATAGCTGTGATGAATGAAGACATAATTCACTGTCATTACGTCATTATCATATAATCATTATAAAAACATTGTTGATGAGTCCGCCGAGACAGCTGCGATGAATGATATCTCCTAATAACACTGTAGGTAAGTCCTCCGAGACAGCTGTGATGAATGTAGACTCAGAATGACATCGTAAATGAGTCCTCGGTCTCATATAAACAAGTTCCCCTCCCAGGGCGCCATATTTACCCGCCAAAACTCATAAAAGAAAACGTGATTACACGAACGGGTGACTTGCGTCATTGCTCTTTATTTCCGTCGTTGGGTTGTAAAAGTTATATATGACAATGACACTTTATTATTATTATTATATGCTATTATATTATTATATGCTGATATTCTTTTTGTTGTGAAGACTTTCCAATCTTTCTATATTTCAAGTTGTCAGTGTTTATTGGGTAGCTGTAGGTTACATACTGTTGTGGCTAAGAATTTGTTGAACAGGTATTGGGTGGCTGGGATTTGTTGGTCCAGATATTGTGGGCTAGGTATTGTGGGATGGGTACTGTGGATCACGTGTTATGGGATAGTTGTCTCTTGACCAGCCATTATTGACCAGGTATTGTCAAACATTTATTGTGGCCATGTACATATATACGCGCACACACACATACACACACACACACACACACACACACACACACACACACACACACACACACACACACACACACACACACACACACACACACACACACACATCTTGTCTGGTGTTAGTTGTGTGCGCGTGTGTGTAGGAGAAATATATGTAGTAGACAATTAACTAATAACACACACACGTAGATAATACAGTAAAACTTTTATAAGCTGCATAGTTTATAAAACAAAATAAGTTACATATAACTATAGAAGATTCGGTGGGTACTAAAAAAGGAAAGAATCGCCACCTAAAGGTGGTAAATAAAGGGGGAAAACAAATGAAATTAAAAAAAAAAAACATAGCAGGAAACTGCATATCGAGTATGATGAAGAAAAATTTTGATCACTAAAAAAGGAAGTCTCGAGAGAGGATAAAGCCTTAAAGTGGAACCTGGAAACAAGCAAAAACGGATAAATGGAGGTAGAAATAAAGAAAATATGGGCTCAAGGTCAAGGGACTCAAAGAGCCTGTGAATTGAAGCAGAAACTAAAACCAGGTAAACCATTAAAGAAAGGTGGTTATAGGAACGTAATAGATGGCAACAAGTTAATGACAATTCTATACACAAGAACAGAGTTGGAACACGCTTTAACTCAGTGATACAACGCACAACAAATTAAAGGATACCGTTGCGTTGGCAGGCACAGTACTAGAACAAAAGATTCAGAATGCCAAGATCCAAGATCTCCACTGGAGACCAGTATTCGGCGTCTCCATTAAACACCAATCTCCATTGTTTACCAGTGAGCTCCTTGCTCAACACTCGTTACAAATTGTAACTTCCGGCGGCTTCACAATACTGTCACATCTAGCAAACACTCCTTGGAGAAACCCTTGCCCATCTCACTAGGTCTTGCCACAACATAGTCTTAGGGGAGACTTATTATGGTGATGGAAAAACGCTCAGGTGCTCCCGCGATGGGAGGGTGAAGAGAGCATTTGGTTCACATCCAATCTTTATGTGATTGCTGAAATAATCTTTTTGTACATTTATTCTCTTGTTGATTCGGCAGTGTTACTCTCGATGTGGCTCAGCATACAGGTTCTTATTCCCTTTCTTTAGTTCAAGGTTGCTGATGGATGCAATCTGCTTTGATTTTAATTGTAATGTAATGCAATTCCCCCTCTCTCTCTCTCTCTCTCTCTCTCTCTCTCTCTCTCTCTCTCTCTCTCTCTCTCTCTCTCTCTCTCTCTCTCTCTCTCTCTCTCTCTCTCTCCCCCTCTCTCTCTCTTGCTCCCCTTCTCTCTCCCCGTCTATCTCTCTCATTATATGTTTTATAGATACTTGTATAACTTTGGGCAGAGGGATTGTCATAAGAAAAACGAGATTTTGGATAATAAACAAGATTAGGGGGCATATGTGTGTGTGTGTGTGTGTGTGTGTGTGTGTGTGTGTGTGTGTGTGTGTGTGTGTGTGTGTGTGTGTGTGTGTGTGTGTATGTGTGTGTGTGTGTGTGTTTGTGTGTGTGTGAGTGTGTGTGTGCTTGCGTGCGTGTGTGCGTGCGTGTGTGTGTGTTTATCAAATATTACAGCTAAGCTGTGTTTTATCTCGTTTTATCGTGTATAATTCGGATTCTTCTCGTTTCACTCAGTAATTGACCGTCATATTAAAAATAATCATTGCAACTGCATCAAATAAATTTAGTAAAAATCTTGTCAGTCACGCAAATGTTGGATAACAGTTATAAAGTTTCGTCGTCGCACCCGTGTTTTATATATATAATGTTTATAATTTGACGGCGTTCGACTCCCGGATAGCTGAAGTGATTGGGCACCGTTCATGCTTGTCCTCGTATCCCAGTTCCTTGTCCTCGTATCCCAGTTCCTTGCCCTCATATCGGAACGATATCCTTATGTCCCAACTCCTTGTCCTCATATCCCTTCCAAGTGCTAAAAGTCATACTGGCTTAGCACTTGATCCTCATAATTTCCTCATTGTGTCCGGCATATTTCGAAAAATCAGTATTTGATCAGCAGGATTGACTGGCCGTCAGCCTCACACATGTTCCGGGTATACATGATATCATTCACTCCGGTATAGGACATGTTTCCACATATGTATTTATTATTCTCAACTTTATTAACAAAAACTGCACGAAACGGTTCTGTATAATGGTACACGTTCTCTCGCTTCGTTTAATCAAGATAGGAGAAATGTTGTCATTTCTAAGGATGCTGTTCACTTACAGTTAGGATCAAAGATACAGTTTTACGAGGCTTATCTCTCTTGTCTTGGATATTTCGGGACAAACGAAACTGGTTTTTTTATCAGCTTAAAACTGAATCAAATGTCTCGTATTTCCCGGATACGCAAGACATCAGCCGCCTCTACTGCACGACCCTTTGCCTCGTTCGTCCCAGATAAGCCGGATTGGCCGGACGACAATTTGGATAAGATCTGACTGTCTCACAGAAGCTGGCTGCAGTGATTCATGTATGTGACTCAGGGCTCTCTTGCCCTGAGTCGCGCAGGATGAGTAACTCGTGGGTATTTAGACGAAAGAACTGTATTTACTATTTGTATCTGAAGAATGGAGCTATTAGCTCTTGGACCCCGCCTTTCTAACCAACTAATTTTTGCTCTATTATTTCTACTCCATACATTTCTCTCTAACACACACACACACACACATCTCGAGGAAGCAGCCCGTAACAACTGTGTAACTCCCAGGTACCTATTTACTGCTAGGTGAACTGGTGCACCAGGGTGTAATGAACTCTGCCCATTTATTTCCGACTCCGCCGGGGATCGAACCAGGGCCCTTAGGACCTGTCCATTCAGCCACGAGGACCCACTGTACACTGAGGGGGATTGATGAGGGAGAGAGAGAGAGAGAGAGAGAGAGAGAGAGAGAGAGAGAGAGAGAGAGAGAGAGAGAGAGAGAGAGAGAGAGAGAGAGAGAGAGAGAGAGAGAGGATGGATTCAATTGGTTTCAATCTGTAGACATTATATACCCCGAGCGAATCATATTGTTACACACACACACACACACACACACACACACACACACACACACACACACACACACACACACACACACACACACACACACACACACAGGGGTCTGGTAGCTGAGCGGACAGCGTGCAGGACTCGTAATTCTGTGGCCCGGGTTCGATTTCCGGACCAGGCAGAGACAAATGGGCAAAGTTTATTTGACCCTGAATGCCCCTGTTTCCCTAGCAGTAAATAGGTACCTGGGAGTTAGTTAGTCAGCTGTCACGGGCTGCTTCCTGGGGTGTGTGTGTGTGTGTGTGTGTGTGTGTGTGTGTGTGTGTGTGTGTGTGTGTGTGTGTGTGTGTGTGTGTGTGTGTGTGTGTGTGTATAACTGTGTGTGTGAAACAAAAATTAGTTAGTAGTTAGTTACAGTTGATTGACAGTTGAGAGGCGGGCCGAAAGAGCAAAGCTCAACCCCCGCAAGCACAACTAAGTGAATACGCACACACACTACTCCATAACCTTACCAAGAGAAAAGCTTAAGTGTAAGAACAGGTGATAAAACTAAGAAAGGGTTAGTGACGCAGTTCGAGACATAATTGCAATAGTGAAAAATAAAATTAATGATATGATCTCGGATGCAATCTTCCCAAAGGGACACCAAGTGATAAGGCATGTAAGGACACGGAGACAGGGAAGGGGAAGTGGCACTCGTCATAAAGCGGAAATGGAAATTTGAGGAACTAGAGAATCAAGACACTGATGGAAACACAAGCTCCATACTTAGGATTCTGGCAGGGAATGAGACGGGGATTGTGTTCTTGATACTCGAGAATCTCCCACCAAACAGTAGAAGGGCGAGACAGGGGAACGGATATAGAGGTGACAGCACAGGAGGTAATGAAACAGCTAACAACACTGGATGCAACTAAATCAATTGGACCAGACAAAGTATCACCGTGGATACTAAAAGAGGCAGCGCAGGCCCTCAGCGTGCCTCTGGCAAGGATCTATAATGAGTCACTTACGAAGGGAAAGTTGCCCAGTTGCTGCAAAAAGGCAAGTATGCTACCAATTTTCGAAAAGGGAGATATGGAAGAGGCACTTAACTACAGACCAGTATCACTGACAAGCAGCCCCTCTAAGAGGTGGGGGTGGAAGCTCGAAACTGAAGCTGGAGTCATAGAGATGCTAGAAAGATTTATTTAAGCGTCAGAGTATTGAGGAAATGGAATGAACTAAAGGAGGACATTGTGGAAACAAACACTAATCATAGCTTTAAATCTAGGTATGATAAGGAAGTAGGTCACGAGTCGTTGCTTTAAACGACCGAAGGCTAGAAAGGCGGAATCCAAGAGCCAACGCTCGATCCTACAGGCACAAATAAATTAGTACAAATAGTTGAGTACACACACACGCCACACGTACATTTAAGTGCTCCCTTAATTCGCACTTGACGAAGAAAAGAAACTTATTATGGCACATATGAATGCTGGAAGCGTCTCAAGTGAAACTTAATGAATCCACACCATGCGCGACCCTGCAGCTGCTTTAGTGCGTGTGCGTGCATGTGTGTGTGTGTGTGTGTGTGTGTGTGTGTGTGTGTGTGTGTGTGTGTGTGTGTGTGTGTGTGTGTGTGTGTTTGTGTGTGTGTGTGTGTACTCACCTATTTGTGCTTGCAGGATCGAGCATCGGCTCTTGGATCCTGTGTGTGTGTATATGTGTGTGTGTGTGTGTATGTGTGGGTGTGTTTGTGTGTGTGTGTGTGTGTGTGTGTGTGTGTGTGTGTGTGTGTGTGTGTGTGTGTGTATGTGTTGTCTTGTCTTGTCATATGTAACATGTTAACGTGTAACAATCTGTTCAAATTAGCTTTAACCTCGACAATAGCTTATGGCTTTCCATTTATTTTACTGTTACAGTTTTATATATATATATATATATATATATATATATATATATATATATATATATATATATATATATATATATATATATATATATATATATATATATATATATATATATATATATATATATATATATATAATAGTTGTTTTGTTTGCTGTTTATAAGAAAAGTCTGGTTTAAGTACACTACGAAGTATATGATGATTTGAAGCATATAAATAGATTAAAGAGTATAACACAAGGGCTATAAATTTTTTATAACTGTATCAACACAAAACAGAAGTTTTGGTTCTTGAAAGACCTGAGTAGATTCTGGTATGGAAAGAAGGGTGGTTGGATTATGACGCAGATAACCGAGTAATAAAACAGACGTTGGATCGGCGGATTGTTTCAAGCTTAAGTTAGACATATGCATGAATGAGTTTAGGCGTTTATAAATAGAAAATAATGGTATGTACCAAGAGCTCCCCCTCTGTAGGTGTCTTAATTATCTAAGCTATTAATTATCTACTTAATTATCTAAGCAAATATATAAGCTTCTCTATCTCTTTGAAATGTCTTTTTTTCTTGTCTCAATAAACATACTTGAACTTGAACTTAATTCTTATGGTTTTAATAAACTCATACAATACTCTCCATGACATCAATGGTGTTATTCATAACCTTGATCACTGATACTGTTTGTTGATTACTGTTTGCAACGCGGTTGTAAAGCTTGTGTATAACGCGCGTCTGTGCGTATGCAACGCGCTTGTATGTGTGTGTATATGTGCGTTTATAACGTGTATACGTGTGAACACACGCAGGACGGGTTCGTGCTGGTGGGGTCGGTGGCCGGACAGCGATACTGGTCCTCAATGCTCAACCTACAGTCCACTATCACCTCCGGAGTCTTCACGCCCGAGGACCAGCAGGTCAGCTCTACCAGCTTCACCTGGGGGCTATTATGCTCCTCTCTTTTGTTTACTGAAAATAATGTTATGTTCCCCCTGAATGTTTCTGCCGTCGCCTGAGGCGGTGTATTGGACGCTTGCTACACTGTTCCTCGCCTCTAACACACACACACACACACACTATTCCTCGCCAGGTGTACTTCGGAACCACGTCTGGGATGGTGATTGTGATGGACGTGCACGGAGCGATGGTGTCGCAGGTGCCGCTGCTGGACGACACGGCCATCACCGACCTCGTCTGGTCCTGCCCCAAGTTTAAGATGGAGGAACACGAGGAGAACAACACTAAGAATGGTGAGTGGAAGTTCTCTGGTGTTGGTGAGAGAGTGAGAGCTCTCTTGTTGTGAGAGTGAGAGCTCTCTTGTTGTGAGAGAGAGTTCTCTTGTTGTGAGAGAGTGCTCTCTTGTTGTAAGAGAGAGCTCTCTTGTGTCTAGTGAGAGAGAGATGAACCCAATTTTATTATGATTTTAAAGAAGAGTCCTGCTGTTTTGAGTGAGTGGAAGTCCTCTTTTCTCGAGTGCGAAGAGTCCAGTTGCCTTGAGTGAAGAAAGATAACACAACCCCCCCCCCACCACCTCCCTCAGAGTGCCTGCATGAGTGAAGGAAAACAATCACTGCCGACCTCGTTATTTGACGCTGAAATAATATCCTTTTAGCCGACAAAATTGCCCCTAATTATACACATTGGAGACAATTATATCTAAATGGTTTGTTCATCACAGCTAATTGCCCAATCGCTGTGTAATGGAATGTTAAAAGATTTGCTGAGTTATATCAGTGGGCCTCTCTCATCACGCTCATCCGCAGGCGCGCGCACGCAGGCACACCCACATAATTGATCAACTAGTTACTGGTAACTACTAATTGTCTAAAGAAACGCAGTCGAAGATAATACTAAATCCTCATGCGTAGTTCTGCTATATTTGCGTACAAATAAAAAACAAATGTCATCCAAATGTCAGATAAATCATTGAATTCAATAGCATTTAATCTTCCAGATTTCCGTCCTGTCTGCTGTAGTATACATATATTTCTCTCTAACACACACACACACACACACACACACACACACACACACACACACACACACACACACACACACACACACACACACACACACACACACACACGCACACACACACGCACACACACTCACACGCGCACACACACACACACACACACACACACACACACACACACACACTCACACACACACACACACCACACACACACACACACACACACACACACACACACACACACACACGCGCGCGCACACACACACACACACACACACACACACACACACACACACACACACACACACACACACACCACACACACACACACACACACACACTCACACGCGCACACACAGACACACACACACATACACCCAGGAAGCAGCCTATAGCAACTGTCTAACTCCCAGGTACCTATTAACTGCTAGGTGAACAGGGTCAGTGGGGTGAAAGAAACTCTGCCCAATTGTTTCCGCCTTCCCCGGGAATCGAACCCGGGCCCTTAGGATTACGACCGCCGTCCATTCAGCCGCGAGGCCCAGTGTGTGTATAAGGGCTCTCACCGTGTGTATGAGGGCCCCTCTCACCGTGTGTATGAGGGCCCCTCTCACCGTGTGTATGAGGGCCCCTCTCACCGTGTGTATGAGGGCTCCTCTCACCGTGTGTATGAGGGCCCCTCTCACCGTGTGTATGAGGGCCCCTCTCACCGTGTGTAGGGCCCTCTGTGTGTAGGGGCCCCTCTCACCGTGTGTATGAGGGCCCCTCTCACCGTGTGTATGAGGGCCCCTCTCACCGTGTGTATGAGGGCTCCTCTCACCGTGTGTATGAGGGCCCCTCTCACCGTGTGTATGAGGGCTCCTCTCACCGTGTGTATGAGGGCTCCTCTCACCGTGTGTATGAGGGCCCCTCTCACCGTGTGTATGAGGGCTCCTCTCACCGTGTGTATGAGAGCTCCCCTCACCGTGTGCATGAGGACCCCTCTCACCGTGTGTATGAGGGCCCCTCTCACCGTGTGTATGAGGGCTCCTCTCACCGTGTGTATGAGGACCCCTCTCACCGTGTGTATGAGGGCTCCTCTCACCGTGTGTATGAGGACCCCTCTCACCGTGTGTATGAGGGCCCCTCTCCCCGTGTGTATGAGGGCCCCTCTCCCCGTGTGTATGAGGGCCCCTCTCCCCGTGTGTATGAGGGCCCCTCTCCCCGTGTGTATGAGGGCCCCTCACAGTATATATCGTGTCCCCTAGCAGGTGATGGGAGCTCGCTGCTGGCGGTGGTGTTCCAGACGGGACTGGTGTACTTACTGAGGACTCACGACGACCTCAGCCCGACCGTCATCAGAACTGGCCTCCGGGGCGTCCAGGTGAGTACGTCAGTGGAATCTAGGTGAATCACATACCTCAGGTGAGTCTCAAACCCCCAGGTGAGTCAGGCATCTTGAGTCCTGGTGAGTTAAGGGCAACCCTTGCTACTCTGCCTCGATAAGTGGAAAACGCCTCCACAGGGAGAAGCTCATTCCCAATTGAGACAGTTTCAACGTTCTGTGCACTTTATTTGCATCTTAAGACATGCGTTTGTGACTAAAGGAAGCGCAAGCCGAGGCCAGCGTCGGGCGAAGTGGCTGACATAGACTAGAGGCCGCAGGAGATGTCTGGCTCCTGTTGTCTGGACGCTACAGATTCCTTCCTTAAGTGACAGTACCTGCCACTAGTGGGGGTGTTGACCCCCACACTAGTGACAATACCTGCCACTAGTGGGGGTGTTGACCCCCACACTAGTGACAGTACCTGCCACTAGTGGGGGTGTTGACCCCCACACTAGTGACAATACCTGTCACTAGTGGGGGTGTTGATCCCCACACTAGTGACAGTACCTGCCACTAGTGGGGGTGTTGATCCCCACAAAACTCTAAGCTTTTTACTATTGATTTTTGTGGAGAGTACAAGGCTGTGGGTGACAACCACACCTAACCTTCTCTAGGCTTAGTATAATATAGGTTTTCACTAAATTAGGTCTAAACTTGAGAATGTCCTGCCTACACTTGCATTTTAAGACCTCGGACATATTAGGTCCGATTGATAGAATGCTTCAGTTTTATGTTATACACTTTCGTGCACCAATAGAACAAAACCTGGATTTTTCGTCGGTACATTAGTCCAATACTTTGTACATTTGATCCATAGTGGCTATAGTTAACATCTTTCTTGGAGGATGAAGTAGTTGCATATGACACCTTTGAACTATTTATGTGTAATATGCTATATAGGTTTTCATTACTTGAACAGTAAAAGATTTAAGAAATAGCCTTTTGAGTTCTAAATAATAATTCATAAATAATGGTGTTGTTGGTCAATATATGAAGAAATCGTATTACATACTCAATTACATACTAATTATATAATTAGTATGTAATTGAGTAGGTTCACATATTGTAAATGTTCACCGTTTACTGTGGTGACACATCACACACAGACTAGAGGGAAGATGGTAAGCTTAAGCTGCGGCCGGCCACCAGCAAATAACAGAGTGGCTTCGTCCCTAAAGTTTGAGCTTCATGGCGGAGCTTAAAGATAATAGCAATTTTTGATGGCAGGGTTTAGTGAGTAGTTATGAGGGCGAGGTCAACGAGGCAGGCTAGGCGCGTCTGGTAGTTAGCAGCTGGTGATTAACACAGCTTAGTGACTGCTGGACAAGCTGAAGAGTGTAGTGATTGTTGAACAGAATAGTGGCTATTGTACAGCATAGTGACTTGAACAGCATACTGAGTGTTGTACAGCATAGTGACTGTTGAACTACTGCTGAACCTTCACCACCACCACACCCACTAAGTCTCCCCCCTTCCTCACCACCACCCACACGAGTCTGACCTCAGTGCTGACCCTCAGTGCTGACCCTCAGTGCTGACCCTCAGGTGGAGTGGACCAACTCCGGAGAGGTGCTGGCCGTGGCGGGTCACCTGCCTGAAGAAGGCTGCACCATAGGCACGGCCACCAGTCAACCCGTCAGGAACGTGGTCAAGTTCTACACCAGGAGTGGCGGGCTCCGGTACACCCACCACCTGCCCCTCTGTCAGGTGAGTCCTGGGCCCCTGGGAGGCACCTGTGTTCCTCCGTCTCGTAGATTTCTTCATGTATTATTTTGTAGGTGTATGAGGGAGGTGTATAAGGGAGGTGTATGAGGGAGTTGGAAACCGCATTTGATACGCGCAGATGTGTTTGGCAATTGTGTTGTTTATGTGTTTCTGCGAGTGTTTAAAACAGTATCACGGTGTTTTTTTAGATGTTTTTGTGGTAAATAGATATTTGAAGGTGCTACCTTGAGTATATGGATGTGTGTTGAGAGTGATAAGAGACAATTAGATGATGAAATGTTGTGTTGAGTGTTACTTAAGAATACAACAACTGTGTTCTCCTCAGAAGGTTTGCCTGAGAACTTTCGTTCAAGAATATTTCATTGAGAAACTTTCTACGAGGCCGTAGTGGTTAAGTGAAGGTGAAGGAAAGACTCAATATACGTATAAGTGCATTCAAAAACTAATTTTCGTATGCCACCTACGGTGTTCACATCACCTTGAGAAAGGATGTATTTTGCATCCGAAAAATAAATTGTTTTTTAATTCACGTCCAGATATTGTGGGTCTTTCCTTAACTTCAGTATATCGTTATTGTACAGTCAGCTTGCATAGTTAGACGCTGTTCGAGAGTGTGTTGTATGGAATCTGTGTTCCACCACCCCCCGGAGCCTTCACTGTACTGCTCTGTACACTGTCAGGTCACAGTATTTACCCAGGGTCTCTATTTTCTCTCTCTCGCTCTTTTTCTCTATCCTTCCCTCTCCCTCTACCCCTCTCCATCTCCCACGTCTCCCTCGCCTTCTCTCCCTCTCCCTCTCCCCCGCCACAATACTGTCCCCACCTCATAACTCCAAACAGTATCACCAACTTCCCTGGTGCGACACCCTTGAGCAGTCCATCCCTCTGGCTGAGTGGTTGTGCTCAAAGTTGGTAGCAATGTATACCCGGCTGCTCTCTTAGAGACAAGGGAAGTGTGTGTGTGTGTGTGTGTGTGTGTGTGTGTGTGTGTGTGTGTGTGTGTGTGTGTGTGTGTGTGTGTGTGTGTGTGTGTGTGTGTGTGTGTGGGGCATAATATGTTGTTTATTATGTTTGTAATGTTTTAGTTTCTTTAATGTGTAGGTCTCTGTAATTGCTGCTGTATTCTGCAGTGTCGGGACGTTATTTCAATAGTTTTTATGATATTTGTGCTTTTTTTCTAATTACCTGCTTTCAATTGTGTTATTTGCCGAGTAGTATATTCTTGTCTCACCTTTGTGACTGACATTGTCTCACCTTTGTGCCTGACATTGTGTCACCTGTGTGACTGACCTCGTCTCACCTGCCCTGGTGACCCTAACGTGACCTGGTCAACAGACGCCTGTGACGGCCCTGACGTGGGGCCACAACGACAAGCGGGTGTTCGTGGCGACGGGCGCCCAGCTGCACATCGGTCGGGTGTCGCGTCGCGTCGCATCGTTGCAGCTGCTGTGCCGCCTGGCCATCAAGAGCCGGGTGGTGGAGGAGGAGAAGGTGGCCACCTTACCTCTGCCCAGGAGACTCAAGGCTCTCGTCACCTCCCTCTACACTCAGACAATCCGCGTGAGTCAATCATATCTCGAGTCCTCGAGCCTCGGTCATTCTGAGTGGTAGCTCAGGTGAGGCACCTTATACGTTATAATTCATGTCAAGTCACCCTTGATTAATGTGAGTCACCCCCTAGGTTATAGCTCAGGTAATTCGCCCTGGGGTTATAGGTTCTGTGAGTCATTATGATTTATAGTTCTTCGTGAGTCACCCATGACCTATACTTCTCCTTGTGAGTCACTCACATAGTTCTTGAGTGTCATTGCTCCTGTTTAACTGGGGGTCGGCTCCCATTATTACCGCCTCCCTCTTCCCCTCATGTGTTTGTGTGTGATATTTGTTTACATCTGTCCAGAGAGTGTTTCATATGTTCATAATATTGATATGGAAAACGCATGTCCTAAAGGCAGATTTGCTTGCTGGATCCTCCCGAGTGGTGCGACCCTTGACAGCCGACCAAGGCACCTCCATGTACCCCCCCATCTAATATATATATATATATATATATATATATATATATATATATATATATATATATATATATATATATATATATATTTAATAGTACCTATTGTGGCGGTCGTTAATAGTTACAATGCGTATGTACTTAGCTTTTAGATTAAATTGTCTTAATTCTTTTAAATTAAATGAAGCTAAAACACAAACTTAAATATTCCTAGGCCTAGTATAGCACACATATGTACTATATTAGGCCTCAGATAGCGTTTATCAGGCCTAGGGTAGTTACGAGAGGTTAGTTTAGTCTGTCAAAACAAAACCAGTAAAAAAATAGTTTTCCGGTTTGTCCAACTCAATAGTTCAGATTTCTACGTACTAATTTCGTGGTAGGTCGGTATATATACTTAGGTCCTCATCGTTTTTATAAGTACTACCAAAACAGGAAGCTGGGCTGATATATATCTCATTATATGTAGTCATTACTGTATGACTGTATGTAAGAGATCATTACTGATGTGTGCATCTTAACACAAGAGGCCGCACTCAGGGCTGAGCTCAGAGGACCACAGCTGGAGTCTCAGGTCATGAGTGGGCAAGGCAGAAGTAAACAATCACCATGACAACCAGGGTTGCTGATTGGGAAGGGAGGGGGGAGAAAAGGGGGAAAAGAGGGTAGGGGAAGGAGGCTGGATGAGATATCTGACCTCGTTTCACTTCTTCACACACACACTGTGTTTGTTGATCTTCCATTCTCTTCCCTTCTACCACCACCAGCCTCTCAAAGTCTTCCTCCTATGCGACGGAGACCCCTCCTTGTCTGTCCATATTTCTGTCTATGTGTCCAGTTACTGTCTGAATGACAGTCTCTGACACTAAACCTAGCGTTCATTAGGTATGCTGCTGATGTTTCCAATGCAACTGTAAGCTATAATAACTGTTATCCTACATCAGCTAATGAAGCCTGGCCCCTGTAAATTCATTTATTTGATAAACTTAATATTAGTTTTTGTTTGAAATATACTTTATGTACTATTAGATTACAATCATGTCAGTAACAGGATGATGCTGTATATCAGAGCCTTCATATGGTCGGCTGAAGGAATATTCAACACGTTGGTCAGCCTCTGGAATGAATGATCGCTGATGGAATGATGTGCTTGAAAATGTCACAGCCAGTCAGCCAGCACAAGACTGTTGATTGGTGAACCCCTTGTATTGTGGTTGGTAACTTTCGGCTGTTCATGAAATTGTGCGAGGTGGGGAACCTTGAGAACATCAGCTGGTCATAACAGAAAGTCTTCCAGCAGCATCTCTGTGATGTCAAAGGCTCTGTTTTACTGACGTGTCTAAGCAGAATTCGGATAAATGATGAGAGGAGAAGGGGGGGGGGAGGGGCGAAGGGGAGGGTATCCAAGAGTATTGTGCATACTCAAGACAGAAGTGAATTGGTGCTTCATGTAAGATTTTGCAACACTGCTGTCGAGAAAATGCGAGGTGCATAATAGGAGGACCTTGCTTGTTTGTCTCAACATGTTGTTATTTATTGTCATTGAGGAGTCAAACTTCATCACTGAGCACTAGAGTTTTACGCTCATCTGTATGCTTGTCCCCGGCACAGTGTGTCATGTTGTCATGTGACTATCGCTTGTATTTTCTTTGCTGGAACTATAACCTGCAAATCGTTTACAGCAGAAAAAAATTGCTGCACTTAATAATTAATGAACCTCGTAACAGTCGGCATTTCCTCTCCTTATACCTGTAAGTTAAAATTCACTCAACAGCGAAGACTGAAGCTTCAGGAATAAGGAGTAGTATATTGTTGAAGAAGACATTCCACAGCAAGGGGTTCAATCACACTACCCTGTGGTTCGCTCGCTTCTTCTTCTTTTAAATAAGGATGGGATCCAATCAAGATTACAGTGATGTTCCTAATGAAACTAGAAGGTAAGCGCTGTTATCCTACATCAGTTCATCAGACGCCTGGCCATAGAAACTGTGTGCCGTCTCCTCGGCCCTCTTCTGTTTTCCTTCTTCTCATTCTTCCTCTCCGCATACTTGTCTCTCTGCAACTCTTGCTTTCTCTTATATTTGCTGCCACCTAATGACGTTCATTCTCTCAGCCCCACACTCACCCATCTTCCCATGCTCATCCCTCTCCCCTCACTCTTCCCCTTCACCCCCACGCTCTCCCCCTCACCACACTTCCCCCCCTCTCCCCACACTCACCTCTCCCCTCTCCCACAGTGCTACATCCCCGAGGCCCGACAGTTGCGAGAGTTCGTGTCCCGCCCACCAGCCAACAGTCAGCGGCTACACTGTACGATGATCCGACACGACGAGGAGCTGGTGCCCACCCCTGGCGCCTGCTACACGCTCTACCTCGAGTACCTGGGCGGCCTCGTGCCCCTCCTCAAGGGCAAGAGGACCTCCAAGATACGACCGGAGTTCGTCATCTTCGATCCACAAGCGGGTGAGGTGGTTACAAGTGTTTGGGTAGAGAGGAGAAGGGAGTGGGTGGGTATTTGGGTACTGCTGAAGGTAGGAATGGGCACAGGTACGTGTATATTTGGTACAGGTTGGTATGAGTACAGGAGGCAGGTAGGTATGGGTAGAAGTACGTATGGGTACAAGTAGGTATGGGTACAGGTTTGCATGGGTACGGGTATGAATACAATTACATGTACGGATGGAGTCGCAGTTCTATGAATAAAGGTGAATTCACGAGCACAGCCACACTTGTACGTGCATCTATTGAATGATACAGCCTAAGATACAACACAAATACTTGTATCTTCACCAAGGTAAATACATATATATATATATATATATATATATATATATATATATATATATATATATATATATATATATATATATATATATATATATATATACATATGTAATTATCTCAACTGCAGTGTTTTCGTAAACATTTTATTGTATATGCTGCATAAAATTTTATGCTTCTTTCTTTTCGCAGCTCTTCTATCTCCTTCCCATTCTCTTTCTCTTCTTTCTCCCCCATTCTCCTCTTCTTCCTCATCCCCATCTGTGTTCCTTCTTCTTACTTCATGAACTACCCTCATCAATGCCTCAACCTTACTTATACCCTCTCCATCTTTCACTCACACTTCAACTAATGCTCTTAACCTCTCCCCAGACGAGACCTTGACCAAGGAGGGCGTGGAGCGCGGGGTCGGGGTCGGGGGTGGCGGCGGCGGCGGCATGCTCGCCAATGGCCACCCGGCGCTGAGCGACACCTCCGACACCGAGTACGAGGACATGTGCGCCTCGCCGAGGCTCCAGAGGCGACGCAAGCTCAAGCGCAGGTGCGTGTACAGTACCTGATCCCTCTTACTGGAGGGGATGCAAACCTCTCGCTTATATAGGGTATCTGATCTTTGTTTACAAGGTTGTATCAATTCATCTGCAAAGGTATCGTTGTTGTTGTGGTGGTGGGTGTGAGGGCGTCTCATGCCAATAGTCATTTAATGGGGGGGGGGGGGGTCTGACTCTTACTCCTATTGTGTGTTTAATCAAAGGTACGGTATCTGGTTCACTTATTGTCGAGTTAAGGTGCTCATGCGACAGTGGTTTGTTTACCTTCTTTCTTGAGTTTTGTTCCCCCAAATCGTATGTGAACCATTGCTGGGTTGGATTGGGCTGGGATTTGGGATACCATTTTCCCCAAATTTCTTAAGTGTTGATAAGGCCTATCAACTTCTGCTAGATTATCAAGGTTGCACAAGAGCTTACTGACCAACCAGTAAGAATACTGGTTGGCCCTAGATATTGTCCAGGACTAAAGTAATCTCTTAGTGTATATACACCGAGAAGTGGGGTATATATATTGGTATGTTTATATTCCCCACGAATGACAAAATCATCATCGTGTGTGAGGACCCTCAGCATCCAAGGCTCCATGCAAGAATGGCCGGCTCATAGGCTTCTGGAGGACTTACATGACGGTATGAGAATGAAAATATAGGTGAATGTGGCAAGGGGGTTCATGGGAGTTTGATGTGCAAGGATTATCTAATACAGAGATGGAGAGAAAAGAGAGTGATGAATGGCGTAGTTTAGTTCATTTATTATGCACCCCACAATCCCATCCAGTGGGCGGTAGTGGACCCCATACCCATCCTGTGGGCAGTAGTGGACCCCATACCCATCCCGGGGCTTGTAGTGGATCCTGGAGGGCGGTAGTGGATCCCATACCCATCCTGTGGAGTGTAGTATTAAAGGTTTCAGAGGCTGAGCAAGTTATAGTATCGATAAGTTTGTTACACAGGTTAGTGAATTATTATATCAACAATGGGTTCGAGCACGACCACAAGTACAGTCTCTAAGCTCAGCATGCTGAGAGATAGCTTCATATTTTGATTAACTTCTCCCGCCCACCTCCCTCCCCCCCTCCCCGCCCGATCCAGATAGCAACCTGGGGATATTTGGCTAAAATGTGTGGTAATAAATCATTTTGGTTGAAGTATTTACACATTCTTTTAACAACCAATTATCTTCTCGTATTCCATCACACAGTGACGGAGGGTGTGCGAATAATTTTGCTAAATTAATAGAATAAATAATATAAAATTAGTGTAAGAAAGTGAGAGTAAAATAAGGAATATAGAGGAAGAAAGGTTGATATTCCGTGATAGTGAGCATAACTTTATATTTGTAATTGATAGTTATGTTATAAAAGTGAATAACTTAAATGGTGTTAATGTTCCTTTTAGGTAATTCCTTATCATCACATTTGTTTTCAAAGGAAATCAATTTTTATAGATTGCTACATATCGTTCTACAGTATATTCTCCTTCCTGGATGGTATAGGTTAAGGCAGTTCGTCTGCAACTGGAAATGGATGGGACGGTGGTCGAGAGAGTTGATAATTACACAAGTCTTCTAATATAATTATTTATGTGGTGTCTTTAGTGTTAAATTTAGGGTAGTATACTCGCAGCCCATCAGACCCAAGATTGATTCCCGCTGCAGAACACGGAGATACTTGCGCACTCTTTCTTACACCTGATGCCTCTGTTCATCTAGCAGTAAATAGGTACCTGGGAGTTAGGCAACTGTTGTGGGTTGCATCGTGGGGGCTGGGGGACTTGGGGGGGGGGGCCAGTTATAGGATTTTGACCAGACCACACACTAGAAGGTGAAGGGACTCAATCAACTTGAGAATGGTCCAGGACGGACCGAAACGTCGTCGTTCCTTCACCATCTAGTGTGTGGTCTGGTCAAACTACTTCAGCCACGATATTGTGACTCATCGCCTGCAGTTAGAGGAGTATTGAATTGGGGGCCTCGATAACCCTCTTTGACTGCCGGTCCCCATTAATGAGAATCTATATTGCTGTCCTACCAACAGTCATTGATGCATCATGGGGCACTGTGCTTGTACATCACCCTTATCCCCCCGTCCTCGCTTCTTGCAGTGTCAGAAGTGGTTGGGCACCGCTCCTTCCCTCTGTCCTCATACCCGAGCTCCGTGTCCTCATGCCTGTGTCATATACTCATATTGGCTCAGCGCTCTCTGCCTCACACATATATATTCAAGCTGGTCTGTCCTTCAGGAGGTCTACACACTTCTTGTGGCCGTTGTTTTGAACTAATTTGTACTTTTGATATTTTTGCAAAAATTTGTTTTCTCTTTTATTTAAACTACAAAAAAATTAATATGTACATTACAATAAAGCAAGGAAATATCCCCATCTACAGCAAAAAAACAAAAAACCCCTAGCACAACTAATCTCAAACAATAATTACAGACAGTCTATGCATCGGTATTTTTTAAAGTTGTGTTATATTTGTTTGTTACTGTAATAGAGCTACATAAATGAAATATTTATATTATAGTGTACCATATGCAGGTGGATGATGATGGTGGTGGTTCGGTAAACAAGATAAACCTCTTGATAAACAAATACCTCAGTAACAAAACTCCAAACTTTAAGCCTGACCTCCTAACCATTCGAGTCCGATGTATTGAAAACGTGAATATATTTTTTATAGTCTGCCATATACAGATGGATATATTATAGTCTGTCATTTACAGACTGATCTATTAAATAATGCCATCTACAGGAGAATATATTATTATCTGCCATCTACAGGCGGATATATTATAGTCAATAGTACATACTAAATCAATAGTGCTAAACCTGGTCTTTTTTTGTTGGGGGGGGGGGGGGTGTAAGGGTTTCATTCCATCGACAGTGGTAGCAATGTACACTGTGTCAGTGTCGTCATGAGTGGAGACCAGACAACACTAACACTGAACCTGTCTTGCAGAATACGAGAGAGACTGGAGAGCGAGACGGACGAGCTGGTGTACCTGGACACCTTGCCTGAGGTCAGTGTCTCGAGTTGAAGGTTGAGTGGGGTTGGTGAGGGGTGGGGGGGGGGGAGTGGTTAGGGCTAGAGGGGAGGGAGGGAGGGGGTAAGGGTTGAAGGGGGGGGGGAGGGAAGGGTTAGGTGGAGCTGCTGGAGGATGGGAGAGATGGGATTGGGGCATGTTGACATGAGGATATGGGCTGGATTAGTTTAGGTTTTGGTAGGGCTTGGTGGGAAGACTTAGGGTAGGGGGTGACAACCTCCCTCTCCCACCTTCCTCCCTCACAACCTTCCTCCCTCACAACCTTCCTCCTTCGCAACCTTCCTCCCTGCCTCACAACCTCCCTCCCTGCTTCACAACCTACCTCCCTGCCTCATAACCTCCCTCCCTGCCTCACAACCTCCCTCCCTCCCTCACAACCTCCCTCCCTGCCTCACAACCTCCCTCCCTCCCTCACAACCTCCCTACCTACCTCATAACCTCCTTCCCTCCCTCATAACCTCCCTACCTGCCTCACAACCTCCCTCCCTCCCTACCTGCCTCATAACCTCCCTCCCTCCCTCACAACCTCCCTCCCTGCCTCACAACCTCCCTCCCTCCCTCACAACCTCCCTACCTACCTCATAACCTCCCTCCCTCCCTCCCTGCCTCACACCCTCCCTCCCTCCCTCACAACCTCCCTCCCTCCTTCACAACCTCCATCACTCCCTTCATCTATCTACCTCTCCCTACCTTCTTCGTTTGTCTGTTTCTTCATCTGTCGTTCCTACTCTCTATTTCTCTTCTTGTCTCCTCCATCGGTCTCTTCGTCCTCCTGCTCCTGTTAATTCCGTCCGTGTTTTTCCATTCTTCTTCTAAATCCTAACGCATTCAGCGTGTACCCAGTGTTTCGTGTTCTAACTGGCATGATATGAGTAGAATCTACATCCATATACATCCTTATTCATGCCAATACATGCCTATACATGCAAGTATCCCCCTTCATGCACTTGTGATCCACGTGTAGACTTCAAGCATGTCCTCTCCTGCTCACCACCGGTGCAGGGAATGTAAACTTTAGTGTTTTACCGTCTTAATGCCCTGGCTAAACTTTGTAAGTCTTCTGAATATAATCTCTTCAGAATTTCTGTAAGTTTTATACTCACCTCAATTTGTTTTCTACTGCATTATTGAAGCTCAGTGTGATAATGAGCAAGAATAGGGAGAAGGATTGTATAAGAGCTTCGATAACTAATGTGTGTGTGTGTGAATATGAATCCTGAGTGTTAGTTGGCTTCATTCCCAGTATTTATATATATTGCCTTTGTGGCTTTAGATCCTAATGATTATGGTCATTTAGATCCCATTTACTCCCTATCGCCTTCATCATAATACAATTGACCCTTCTTCCCCTCCACAGAACCTCATAACCTTCTTCCCCACCACTAACGTTCCTACCCCACCATTAACCCCTATGTCCAGCATTAACCCCCAGTCCCTTACCACTAACCCTAATCACTAACTCCTCTCCCCCACCAGTAACCTCTCTCTCTCCCCCACCACAGCACCACCGGCTGGTGGAGGTGACGTCGAATATCTGGGGCACCAAGTTCAAGCTGCATGGGGTGGCATCGTCCTTACCCGCCAACCTGGGTCAGGTGACCTACAAGACGTCCCTCCTGCACCTTCAGCCACGTCAGATGACGCTTGTCATCACGGAGCTCAGGGAGGACATCCCCCCCAGACCTGACCCTAACTTCAACCCCAACGTGTTCTCTGAGGACGAGGAGGAGCTGGGTAGGGGCCAGGGGCGTGGGTACTCACCTACTAAGCTTATTTAATAGAGTTCGCATGACAGAACTTCAGCTGGGCCCCTGCCTTTTCCCCCTATGAGTTCATACTGTGATATTTTACTTCTCTTTTTCCTTTCTTTTAAAATTACAGATAAATTTGGCTTCTTACTGCTTCCTCTTCCATGTCGTCCCTCTTGCTTACTGCCCCTACCCATAAAGGAATGTTTCCTCTTATATATATATATATATATATATATATATATATATATATATATATATATATATATATATATATATATATATATATATATATATCCTATATATATATTTTATTAAATATGACCGAAAAAGTAAGATTAATAATTCTAACACGAATTTTCTCAATCTTTCGTACATTATGCTTCACTGTTGGAGGTAAATCAAAAATCACTTCTCCAAAATTCATTTTTATTTCTAGTCTGACGCGACACGGGCGCGTTTCGTAAAACTTATTACATTTTCAAAGACTTCACAAATACACAACTGATTAGAACTTGCGTTTCCCTGATTTTATATCTACATTTGAGTGAGGTGGGAAGGGTGATGTGGCATTACATTTGAGTAAGGTGGGAAGGATGATGTGGCATTAGAGGATATTAATAGGGTATTAAAAGTATCAACACAAGACAGAACACGAAACAATGGATATTGAATAGAAGTGTTTGTAGAAAGCCTATTGGTCCATATTTCTTGATGCTTCTATATTGGAGCGGAGTCTTGAGGTGGGTAGAATATAGTTGTGCAATAATTGGCTGTTGATTGCTGGTGTTGACTTCTTGATGTGTAGTGCCTCGCAAACGTCGAGCCGCCTGCTATCGCTGTATCTATCGATGATTTCTGTGTTGTTTACTAGGATTTCTCTGGCGATGGTTTGGTTATGGGAAGAGATTATATGTTCCTTAATGGAGCCCTGTTGTTTATGCATCGTTAAACGCCTAGAAAGAGATGTTGTTGTCTTGCCTATATACTGGGTTTTTTGGAGCTTACAGTCCCCAAGTGGGCATTTGAAGGCATAGACGACGTTAGTCTCTTTTAAAGCGTTCTGTTTCGTGTCTGGAGAGTTTCTCATGAGTAGGCTGGCCGTTTTTCTGGTTTTATAGTAAATCGTCAGTTGTATCCTCTGATTTTTGTCTGTAGGGATAACGTTTCTATTAACAATATCTTTCAGGACCCTTTCCTCTGTTTTATGAGCTGTGGAAAAGAAGTTCCTGTAAAATAGTCTAATAGGGGGTATAGGTGTTGTGTTAGTTGTCTCTTCGGAGGTTGCATGGCTTTTCACTTTCCTTCTTATGATGTCTTCGATGAAACCATTGGAGAAGCCGTTATTGACTAGAACCTGCCTTACCCTACAGAGTTCTTCGTCGACTTGCTTCCATTCTGAGCTGTGGCTGAGAGCACGGTCGACGTATGCGTTAACAACACTCCTCTTGTACCTGTCAGGGCAGTCGCTGTTGGCATTTAGGCACATTCCTATGTTTGTTTCCTTTGTGTAGACTGCAGTGTGGAAACCTCCGCCCTTTTCCATGACTGTTACATCTAGAAAAGGCAGCTTCCCATCCTTTTCCGTCTCGTAAGTGAAACGCAGCACGGAACTCTGCTCAAATGCCTCCTTCAGCTCCTGCAGATGTCTGACATCAGGTACCTGTGTAAAAATGTCGTCAACATACCTGCAGTATATGGCCGGTTTCAAGTTCATGTCGACTAAGACTTTTTGCTCGATGGTACCCATGTAGAAGTTTGCAAACAGGACACCTAGGGGAGAACCCATAGCGACCCCATCTACTTGCTTATACATGTGCCCATCCGGGCTCAAGAAGGGTGCCTCTTTAGTACAAGCTTGGAGTAGTTTCCTCAGAATACTTTCTGGCATGTCAAGAGGAGTACAGGCTGGATCACGATACACTCTGTTGGCTATCATTCCGATTGTCTCGTCCACAGGTACGTTGGTAAACAGCGATTCTACGTCCAACGAGGCTCTTATCCCTGTGGCCCGTGCGCCCCGCAGTAAGTCCACAAATTCCTTTGGAGACTTCAGGCTGAAGGCGCAAGGAACATAAGGAGTCAGCAGGCCGTTGAGTCGCTTCGCCAATCTGTACGTGGGTGTGGGTATCTGGCTAATGATTGGCCGAAGTGGGTTTCCAACAGTGAAGTATAATGTACGAAAGATTGAGAAAATTCGTGTTAGAATTATTAATCTTACTTTTTCGGTCATATTTAATAAAATATGTCTACAGGAAAGACTGCTACCAAAATATACTAATGTTAAAGTGCACGACCCAGCAGCAAGGAATCAAGCCTTCACGATAAAATATCGCCAGGATCTGATTCGTGATCAGATATACAAGGCAGAGAATGAAATCAAAGACAAAAAAACGCAACTACTTCATGCTACAAACGAGTGGAGAAATAGCAACATCGACCATAGTATCCGTACCCGCATTGAACAACACCTCGACATCCTCACAGACCAACATCACCTCAGCACTGAAACAAGGATTATCAAGAAACTAACAACATTATATGGAGGACCTATGGCAATTCCACGACCAAGAGATGGCTTCCTGAACCTTGCAGGAATTAACCTCACTGAGGACCAAGTCACTCTCCTAAATCTGGGCATAAACTGTCATGTTATGTCCAGACCGAGTGAAATGGCCCGGAAAGTGGAGTTGGAAATTCTGTTGGACGACATATTCGACCTCGAGACACAAAAGAAGGTCACTACCAAAGATACCTTACAAGCAGAACTTATTGCAGAAGGAGGAAAGAATCGAGGCAACTACAGAAGCACCATACTGTCCCCCGAGCTTAGAGCGGCAGCTAAAAGCCTTCGTGAGAACAAGGAGATAGTTGTCAGGAGAGGTGACAAGTCGCCAATATATGTCATTCTTAAAAAAGACGAATATCTGGCGAAAATGAACATCATACTCTCTGACCAAACTAAGTTCCAAAGGGTAACGAAGGACACTACAGCCGAATTAAAAGCAAAGGTCAACAAACTGATCGAAACTGTGAACGCCAAGAAATCCGGACTCCACCTGCCAAAGATCATTGGGGAATATAAACCTGGATATGCGTATGGAAATGTCAAGACGCACAAGCCTGGAAACCCACTTCGGCCAATCATTAGCCAGATACCCACACCCACGTACAGATTGGCGAAGCGACTCAACGGCCTGCTGACTCCTTATGTTCCTTGCGCCTTCAGCCTGAAGTCTCCAAAGGAATTTGTGGACTTACTGCGGGGCGCACGGGCCACAGGGATAAGAGCCTCGTTGGACGTAGAATCGCTGTTTACCAACGTACCTGTGGACGAGACAATCGGAATGATAGCCGACAGAGTGTATCGTGATCCAGCCTGTACTCCTCTTGACATGCCAGAAAGTATTCTGAGGAAACTACTCCAAGCTTGTACTAAAGAGGCACCCTTCTTGAGCCCGGATGGGCACATGTATAAGCAAGTAGATGGGGTCGCTATGGGTTCTCCCCTAGGTGTCCTGTTTGCAAACTTCTACATGGGTACCATCGAGCAAAAAGTCTTAGTCGACATGAACTTGAAACCGGCCATATACTGCAGGTATGTTGACGACATTTTTACACAGGTACCTGATGTCAGACATCTGCAGGAGCTGAAGGAGGCATTTGAGCAGAGTTCCGTGCTGCGTTTCACTTACGAGACGGAAAAGGATGGGAAGCTGCCTTTTCTAGATGTAACAGTCATGGAAAAGGGCGGAGGTTTCCACACTGCAGTCTACACAAAGGAAACAAACATAGGAATGTGCCTAAATGCCAACAGCGACTGCCCTGACAGGTACAAGAGGAGTGTTGTTAACGCATACGTCGACCGTGCTCTCAGCCACAGCTCAGAATGGAAGCAAGTCGACGAAGAACTCTGTAGGGTAAGGCAGGTTCTAGTCAATAACGGCTTCTCCAATGGTTTCATCGAAGACATCATAAGAAGGAAAGTGAAAAGCCATGCAACCTCCGAAGAGACAACTAACACAACACCTATACCCCCTATTAGACTATTTTACAGGAACTTCTTTTCCACAGCTCATAAAACAGAGGAAAGGGTCCTGAAAGATATTGTTAATAGAAACGTTATCCCTACAGACAAAAATCAGAGGATACAACTGACGATTTACTATAAAACCAGAAAAACGGCCAGCCTACTCATGAGAAACTCTCCAGACACGAAACAGAACGCTTTAAAAGAGACTAACGTCGTCTATGCCTTCAAATGCCCACTTGGGGACTGTAAGCTCCAAAAAACCCAGTATATAGGCAAGACAACAACATCTCTTTCTAGGCGTTTAACGATGCATAAACAACAGGGCTCCATTAAGGAACATATAATCTCTTCCCATAACCAAACCATCGCCAGAGAAATCCTAGTAAACAACACAGAAATCATCGATAGATACAGCGATAGCAGGCGGCTCGACGTTTGCGAGGCACTACACATCAAGAAGTCAACACCAGCAATCAACAGCCAATTATTGCACAACTATATTCTACCCACCTCAAGACTCCGCTCCAATATAGAAGCATCAAGAAATATGGACCAATAGGCTTTCTACAAACACTTCTATTCAATATCCATTGTTTCGTGTTCTGTCTTGTGTTGATACTTTTAATACCCTATTAATATCCTCTAATGCCACATCATCCTTCCCACCTTACTCAAATGTAATGCCACATCACCCTTCCCACCTCACTCAAATGTAGATATAAAATCAGGGAAACGCAAGTTCTAATCAGTTGTGTATTTGTGAAGTCTTTGAAAATGTAATAAGTTTTACGAAACGCGCCCGTGTCGCGTCAGACTAGAAATAAAAATGAATTTTGGAGAAGTGATTTTTGATTTACCTCCAACAGTGAAGCATAATGTACGAAAGATTGAGAAAATTCGTGTTAGAATTATTAATCTTACTTTTTCGGTCATATTTAATAAAATATGTCTACAGGAAAGACTGCTACCAAAATATACTAATATATATATATATATATATATATACATTATACACTATAGTCAGAGGGTAACATAATATCTCTACAGCCTCTGTCATTATCAACGATAAATTAGTCAGGCCTTAATGGTTTATTTCCTCTATTTCACCTAGGCGTCTCTTCTTCCTCTATTGGTACTGTATCATTCATAATACAGTACTGTATAGTCGCAATGTTTTGGCGCTTTCCCTTAATATTTCCCTTCCTCATAATAGTATTAACCCCTTATGTAACCTCTTGTACTGGTCCATCATTCAGGCCTGACCTTAACCACTTATTCATATCACCTGTGGAGTTTTTCACAAAACGTCATGTTACATTGTGTGAGTTTAATAAGTAATTAGTAGCTTTATAAAAATATACAAATAATGTACCTATTAAGAAACCATTATAATTTGATCCCGTGTATTTAATGTATAAGTAAAATATTATTATTATATATCTGTGTAGTAACCTAATTTGTTCTTTGACTTTAACCGCTATGTTATTTTGAAACATTTTTATGCTTCTCCACTGATCCCTGTGTACTCATTTAGGGCGTCTCTACAGGCTAGCTGCTCACTGTTTGCCCTCGTTACTCTGTTGTTTGTGCTATTTATCAAAACACTCTCTTTTCTGTTTTTGGCCTTCTTTTATGAATGGTATAAATTGTTATGTGGCCTGTGTGCCCATCGTCCTCTATGATGTAGTCCTGCTGATTATCCATGTCTTCTCTGCATGTTTCCTCAGATCAATGAAACATTTTTAATTCCAGTGTCACGACCTCTTCTCACCTTTTCGTCTTCACTTGGTGGCCGCATTGAAACACTGCATTGCATATGATATATGGTTTCATTTGTCTAATTACAACGATGTGCAGATGTATCTTTTGTTCCAACACATGTAATTCCCTTTGTTTATTCGTCATGCCATCTTTATATGTGTACATTACTTGAATTCTAGTCATTATTACTGAGGAACTGAATCCTTGTGGAGGATGATGAGGGTTGGGGGGGGGGCAACACAGCCTGGGGTTTGAGAGGCAGGAGATATTTATGTCTTGTATTCCTGTATATCTTGTTGCTGGGTCGTGGGGATTGGCTGGGACACCGTTGCTTTGCTATGTTACTCTGCTGTATTATGTATTTTGTGCCAGGCTATGCCACGGAGGCTATGCCATGGAGGCTATGCCACGGAGGCTATGTCACGGAGGCTATGCCAGGGAGGCTATGTCACGGAGGCTATGCCAGGGAGGCTATGCCAGGGAGGCTATGCCAGGGAGGCTATGCCACGGAGGCTATGCAACGGAGGCTGTATTTACTCACGTTGTCGATGTGTAGTGCATTCATATCTTCATAAGCTCACTGCTTCTTCAGGTGAGCGTCTTGCCTCCCGCCGACCGCCTGACCTGACCTCAGACGTGCCAGCCATCGCACCAATGACGCCCCGCCGGACGCCCTCCTCCTACTCCCGCCAGGGTCTGCACACCACGCCCTGGGACGTCTCCTCCCCTGCTCCTCACAGACCACCTCACACGGAGATCAGTGCAGTGGAGACCAGACTGGAGATGGATGGTGGGATGGACGGGATGGTCCTAGACCCAGACGGTGCCGCCCTCCTGCAGGAGTTGGAGGAACATCCTTACGTTGACCTGGCCACTCCCGAGATGTTGCAGCTGAGGGAAGGCCTCCGGGCGGAGCTCCGTGGGGAGAATCACACCTCCTCCCTCCATCACCCAGCTCAGATGACTCCCTCCCACGCCCCCCTCCACGCCCAGGAGGGGCACGTCTTCTCCATCATGCGTGGCTCGGCGCCCTCCAGTCCTAAGCACTCCGTCAGCGCCTTCTGCTGCGATGCCGGCACCATCCAGTCCCCCAAGAATATTGTCGCGCCAACACCCATCGTCACCCGCAACTCCTCCACGACGGCGACGGTGCTGGAGATCCAGGGTGGTGAGGTGGGGCGGGCGGGCCTCAAGACCTCCACCACCACCACCATCACCAGCAGAGCCTCACGGACGGAGGAGCTCCGCCTCGTTACCTCTGACAATGCCCTCCATCACTACAACAATGTCTCCACCTCGTCGGCCTCCAACACCACCAATTCCGTCACCACCAACAACATCAATAACCTAATTAGCAACAATAATACTCTCAACAACAACAACAATAACAATGTCACCTTCAACAACAACAGCACCAGCAACAGTAGCAGCAACAACGGGAGCAGCAGCAGCAGCAGCAGCAGTGGGAACAGCACCTACCGCAGTCCTCAACACACACTGGTGAGTCCTTAACCGCTACGCGGCGCCACTTGCTGTGTCTAATTTTACCCACTTATTTGACTTGCCATTTTCAGTCAGGCGCACTCGATACAGTATTTGCTTAAGAGCTGCGCATTTTAGGGGTTAAAGATATATTGTTATTTGTATACGTGTCAGAAAATACAATGTCACGCTAACAATGGTTTTATCACAATTATTATATGTATTCTGGAAATGGGAATGTAATCCCCTGATGTACGAACCTTAAATATGTGAACAAACTCGTGATGGTGAATCGGGGTAAAGTCTCAACACATTGAACAAACTCATGGTAGTGAAGAGGGTCGAGAAGGGTATCTTCCCGCAGCACAATGAGTCTAACCCTCAGTGCACTGCAAACTAAAGATACTTTGCAAAGATAAAGATCTTTAGTGCAGTGCACTAAAGATACTTCGCAAAACTTGATACATAATCCCAAAATTCTAGCGTAATGTTTCATAACATTAGATAGGGCAAAATATCTATACGTTTTCTTGATCTTGGTTTGGCTTAGAGTGAGGCCATCAGGCTCTCAAATGGTAATTGGGTGATGGTGTGGTGTTGTTTTTCATTTTCTTGCCAAGGTGCTGTAGAGGGAATATTATCCCATACACCTCTGGGCCAAACAGCATACCATAACCCTCTAGAATGTTGATTGGCCCACAAATCTCTTAAGCCAGTCAGATCCCTATAATTCTCCACGGCCCAAGGCTACTCAGCATCCATGAACCTCAGGGTCAATCAGCATCCCTTAAATGTCTGGACCAATCAGCATCCTGTAAACCTCTAGATCAATCAACATCCTGTAAACGACTGGGCCAATCAGCATCCTGTAAACCTCTGGACCAATCAGCATCCTGTAAAGCTCTGGTCCAATCAGCAGGGGTGTAGCGGTGGCGGGTTGAGGAGTGACATCATCCGGTACATCGACGAGGAGAGCGGAGAGTCGGACGGGCGGTCTTTCACCCCGTCGCCAGCCCGGACGCGCCCACGCCCACTCTACTCCCGAGCCCGCAGCAAGAGCGTGGGCCACCTGCACAACATGGACCATGCTATCAACCAGCTGCAACACCTGCACCAGCTGCGCAACATCGACGCTTTCCTCGCCTTCAGACGGTCGGGTTCTCTTATTGACTCACCCAAGAAGGTCAGTCAAGAAGGGTTGCGTGTTGCTCTCTGTTATCTCTCTCTTTTTCTCTCCTTCTCTTTTTCTCTTAATCTTTCGCTTTCTCCAGTAATAGTGTATGTAATTAGGTGCTGTAATTAATCTATTTATTCTTAATGGAGTTTATATTAACAGCTTAGGACCGGGAAAATGCTGTAGTGGGTCAGCCCAGAAAAAAAGGCTTTTCACTTTATTCATCGTTTTCCCTTAATCCAACTTATTCTTACCCTACTGTCCTTTTCTGAGACACGGTCCATGAACTGACTGACAGTTAATGTTCCTAATTACTGTTGGATGAAGAGGCGCGAAGGATTAATGACTGGCACCTAGTCGACTCTCTCTGGGTCAGGGCTCGAACCTGGCCAAACTCTGGGCAGGGGGGGGAAAGGGAGCGACTGGGCACCTATCCTTAACTGTTCGCCCCTGTTCTGAGTGTATATCGTTATGATTTTCTGTTAATTGTTTAATATTATTATTTTTCTTCTGTAGTTTAGATTGAAGTCATATATATTAGTAAAGAGTGAACACCATGTGCTGCACTATCACACCTCTGATGACATACTGAATTACGAGGTGCACCCCAAGTAACACTTGAACACATACACCCACTGCGGGAGTAAAAATAAATAATAATTTGAACACAACAGAATTACTGACGTGAAAGTAGGATTAGCACCTATTACTTGCTCTTGCCCCCTCACCTCATTACGTTACTCACACTCCTGCCTCTCCCTCATACCTTAACCCATCCTGCTTTACCATTTTAGTTACCCTGCCTTAGCCTCATTCACCCAGCCCTCTCCTCACACACCCAGCCCTCTCCACACACACCCAGCCCTCTCCACACACACCCAGCCCTCTCCACACTCACCCAGCCCTCTCCACACACACCCAGCCCTCTCCTCACACACCCAGCCCTCTCCTCACTCACCCAGCCCTCTCCACACACACCCCCAGCCTTCTCTTCACACACCCAGCCCTCTCCACACACACCCAGCCTTCTCCTCACACACCCAGCCCTCTCCTCACACACCCAGCCCTCTCCTCACTCACCCAGCCCTCTCCACACACACCCAGCCCTCTCCACACTCACCCAGCCCTCTCCACACCCACCCAGCCCTCTCCACACACACCCAGCCCTCACCACACACACCCAGCCCTCTCCACATTCAACCAGCCCTCTCCTCACTCACCCAGCCCTCTCCACACACACCCAGCCCTCTCCACACTCACCCAGCCCTCTCCACACACACCCAGCCCTCTCCACACTCACCCAGCCCTCTCCACACCCACCCAGCCCTCTCCACATTCAACCAGCCCTCTCCTCACTCACCCAGCCCTCTCCACACACACCCAGCCCTCTCCACACTCACCCAGCCCTCTCCACACACACCCAGCCCTCTCCACACACACCCAGCCTTCTCCTCACTCACCCAGCCCTCTCCACACACACCCAGCCCTCTCCACACTCACCCAGCCCTCTCCACACACACCCAGCCCTCTCCTCACTCACCCAGCCCTCTCCTCACACACCCAGCCCTCTCCTCACACACCCAGCCCTCTCCTCACTCACCCAGCCCTCTCCACACACACCCCCAGCCCTCTCCTCACACACCCAGCCCTCTCCACACACACCCAGCCTTCTCCACACACACCCAGCCCTCTCCTCACTCACCCAGCCCTCTCCACACACACCCAGCCCTCTCCTCACACACCCAGCCCTCTCCTCACACACCCAGCCCTCTCCTCACTCACCCAGCCCTCTCCACACACACCCCCAGCCTTCTCCTCACACACCCAGCCCTCTCCACACACACCCAGCCTTCTCCTCACACACCCAGCCCTCTCCTCACACACCCAGCCCTCTCCTCACTCACCCAGCCCTCTCCACACACACCCAGCCTTCTCCTCACTCACCCAGCCCTCTCCACACACACCCAGCCCTCTCCACACTCACCCAGCCCTCTCCACACACACCCAGCCCTCTCCACACTCACCCAGCCCTCTCCACACACACCCAGCCCACTCCTCACTCACCCAGCCCTCTCCTCACACACCCAGCCCTCTCCTCACACACCCAGCCCTCTCCTCACTCACCCAGCCCTCTCCACACACACCCCCAGCCCTCTCCTCACACACCCAGCCCTCTCCACACACACCCAGCCCTCTCCTCACTCACCCAGCCCTCTCCTCACACACCCAGCCCTCTCCTCACTCACCCAGCCCTCTCCTCACACACCCAGCCCTCTCCTCACTCACCCAGCCCTCTCCTCACACACCCAGCCCTCTCCACACACACCCAGCCCTCTCCTCACACACCCAGCCCTCTCCTCACACACCCAGCCCTCCCCTCACTCACCCAGCCCTCTCCTCACACACCCAACCCTCTCTACACACACACCCAGCCCTCTCCTCACACACCCACCCCTCTCCACACACACCCAGCCCTTTCCTCACTCACCCAGCCCTCTCCTCACACACCCAGCCCTCTCCACACACACCCAGCCCTCTCCTCACACACCCAGCCCTCTCCTCACACACCCAGCCCTCTCCTCACTCACCCAGCCCTCTCCTCACACACCCAGCCCTCTCCTCACTCACCCAGCCCTCTCCTCACACACCCAGCTCTCTCCTCACTCACCCAGCCCTCTCCTCACACACCCAGCCTTCTCCACACACACCCAGCCCTCTCCTCACACACCCAGCCCTCTCCTCACACACCCAGCCCTCTCCTCACTCACCCAGCCCTCTCCACACACACCCAGCCTTCTCCTCACACACCCAGCCCTCTCCACACACACCCAGCCTTCTCCTCACACACCCAGCCCTCTCCTCACACACCCAGCCCTCTCCTCACTCACCCAGCCCTCTCCACACACACCCAGCCTTCTCCTCACACACCCAGCCCTCTCCACACTAACTGTGCCCGTGCCTACTACAGCGTCAGGTCGGAGAGAGCCAGCCCCGGCAGCCGTGCCTTGCGGACTGCGGTAAGAGTCGCAGCCTTGACTCTTCACCCTTCATCATCAAGCGCCGCCTCCACCACCTCCATCACCACCACCACCCCCACCCCCTGGCCGCCTCCACCACCACTACAACCACCACCACCACCACCACCACCACAACGTCAACCACAGCGCCAACCACCACCACCACCACCACCACCGTCGACCTTCACCAGAGCCTCAACCACACAGAGAAGCAACAGAGGACGTTCGGCAGAACATTAAAGGTGCTTTGATACAGAGATTTATCCATCTTGGCTGAAATATGTAACGGTAGCGTCACCTTACTGAAACCTTTTTATATTATTTCCCTGTTTTCACCTATTATATGATTTCCCGATTTTCACCTATTATATGATTTCCCGGTTTTCACCTATTATATGATTTCCCGATTTTCACCTATTATATTGCTTCTCTAATTTACACCAATTATATAATTTAAGTTTCTGATGCCAGCTACATTATGGCGCTTTACATTTCATTTGCTCAAGTGTCTTTTGTTTTTAATGTGCCTCCCACATTGATTTAAACTTCTTTATGGATATTTGAAGCATCTACAGCCATCAATAATTGGGATCATTGGTGGATTAAATTGAATATTAAGAATATTAATCTCTCTTGCCTTCTGAAGCTATTAAAGCAATAGGTGATCTATCAAGTAATAGAAGGTGATCTATTGAGCAACAGACTATCTATTGAGCAATAGAAGGTGATCTGTTGAGCAATAGAAGGTGATCTATTGAGCAATAGAAGGTGATCTATTGAGCAATAGAGAGTGATCTATTGAGCAATAGAAGGTGATCTATTGAGCAGTAGAGGGTGATCTATTGAGCAATAGAAGGTGATCTGTTGAGCAATAGAAGGTGATCTATTGAGCAATAGAAGGTGATCTATTGAGCAATAGAGAGTGATCTATTGAGCAATAGAAGGTGATCTATTGAGCAGTAGAGGGTGATCTATTGAGCAATAGAAGGTGATCTATTGATCAATAGAGGGTGATCTATTGAGCAATAGAAGGTGACTTATGCCCATGCGTCCCAGGAGAGTGTGCTAGTGGAGCGGTTGGCAGCCCTTCAGCGAGAGTGTCAACAGAACCCACCGCCCACACCCCGCCACCAGCCCACGCCTGACACAGCTCTTCGCCTCAACACGCCCACACACACGCCCACCATCTCCTCCGCCCACGCCAGCAAGAGCATTCCTTCCACGCCAGTCAAGACGAGGAAGGCGCGGCGACACCAATCCTCCTCCCCCATTAGGTGAGCTACTGGTCTCCAGTACCTTGGTGGGTCCCCATACACCCACATTGGTCTCCAGGTACCTTGGTGGGTCCCCATACACCCACATTGGTCTCCAGGTACCTTGGTGGGTCCCCATAAACCCACATTGGTCTCCAGGTACCTTGGTGGGTCCCCATAAACCCACATTGGTCTCCAGGTACCTTGGTGGGTCCCCATAAACCCACATTGGTCTCCAGGTACCTTGGTGGGTCCCCATACACCCACATTGGTCTCCAGGTACCTTGGTGGGTCCCCATACACCCACATTGGTCTCCAGGTACCTTGGTGGGTCCCCATACACCCACATTGGTCTCCAGGTACCTTGGTGGGTCCCCATACACCCACATTGGTCTCCAGGTACCTTGGTGGGTCCCCATACACCCACATTGGTCTCCAGGTACCTTGGTGGGTCCCCATACACCCACATTGGTCTCCAGGTACCTTGGTGGGTCCCCATACACCCACATTAGTCTCCAGGTACCTTGGTGGGTCCCCATAAACCCACATTGGTCTCCAGGTGGTACCTTGGTGGGTCCCCATACACCCACATTGGTCTCCAGGTACCTTGGTGGGTCCCCATAAACCCACATTGGTCTCCAGGTGGTACCTTGGTGGGTCCCCATACACCCACATTGGTCTCCAGGTACCTTGGTGGGTCCCCATAAACCCACATTGGTCTCCAGGTGGTACCTTGGTGGGTCCCCATACACCCACATTGGTCTCCAGGTACCTTGGTGGGTCCCCATACACCCACATTGGTCTCCAGGTACCTTGGTGGGTCCCCATACACCCACATTAGTCTCCAGGTACCTTGGTGGGTCCCCATAAACCCACATTGGTCTCCAGGTGGTACCTTGGTGGGTCCCCATACACCCACCTTGGTCTCCAGGTACCTTGGTGGGTCCCCATAAACCCACATTGGTCTCCAGGTGGTACCTTGGTGGGTCCCCATACACCCACATTGGTCTCCAGGTACCTTGGTGGGTCCCCATAAACCCACATTGGTCTCCAGGTGGTACCTTGGTGGGTCCCCATACACCCACATTGGTCTCCAGGTACCTTGGTGGGTCCCCATAAACCCACATTGGTCTCCAGGTGGTACCTTGGTGGGTCCCCATACACCCACATTGGTCTCCAGGTACCTTGGTGGGTCCCCATAAACCCACATTGGTCTCCAGGTGGTACCTTGGTGGGTCCCCATACACCCACATTGGTCTCCAGGTACCTTGGTGGGTCCCCATACACCCACATTGGTCTCCAGGTACCTTGGTGGGTCCCCATACACCCACATTAGTCTCCAGGTACCTTGGTGGGTCCCCATAAACCCACATTGGTCTCCAGGTGGTACCTTGGTGGGTCCCCATACACCCACCTTGGTCTCCAGGTACCTTGGTGGGTCCCCATAAACCCACATTGGTCTCCAGGTGGTACCTTGGTGGGTCCCCATACACCCACATTGGTCTCCAGGTACCTTGGTGGGTCCCCATAAACCCACATTGGTCTCCAGGTGGTACCTTGGTGGGTCCCCATACACCCACATTGGTCTCCAGGTACCTTGGTGGGTCCCCATACACCCACATTAGTCTCCAGGTACCTTAGTGGGTCCCCATACACCCACATTGGTCTTCAGGTACCTTGGTGGGTCCCCATATATCCCAGTTGGTCTTCAGGGTGTCCCCATATAAAAATTACTTTAAAATAAGAATGCAAAATAAATGAACTTATAAGTCCTGAGCTTTACAAATAGTCCAGCCAATGTTCTTGTTTTAGGAAGGAGTGTGGGCTGTATATCTCAGGCACGTTTCTTAAGGGGTAAACAAGTTTATTGATTCAAGAAACACAATGTTCCTGTTTGCATTTAAACACATTTAAAATTGTATGGTATACAATGGATTAAATAATAAAATACAGTACAATGATTGTAAATACTGGTTCTGTTCTGTTAGGACCAAAAAGATCTGAACATTACACACTCTATCCTAGTTCATAACTGCAGAGCCAATAACTGAGATTATGTCTAGTAATTATAACAACAACTAGTTATATGATACAAACAAGATATTATATGCAGGCAAATATGATACATTAATGATAACTGTGATAGTAATTGATAATTTATACTGATGAATTATATATATACAGATATTTATACAAATATTCATATTAAATTGTAAAGAATGAGATAAATGCTCACTTGATAGTGGGGAGTGTCTCCTCTATATCGTGATTAACAATTTATATGGATTTATTAAGGCTATAAAGCATGCAAGTGGCCAATTTACACTCTACAAACACTTAATAACTTTTCCAAATTGAGAACCGACGCCCATCAGACCAGTTGCCAGATTTATGATCTCTCTCATGATGAGATAAGGCTCAGTATTTTAAAGATAAGATAGCAGCTTTGCTGTACAATAGATTCACTTGTAGCGTGTGCAAGGATTAAGATACAAGTGGTGGTGGAGAGCGAGAACATGTGCTGTGGGTGTACCACTCTACACTAATATTTATTTAAATGTGTTGGTAATTTGTTCTGATTTATAGTTAAACACCTCTCTGAGTAACTTAGGGAGATATTTGAGTGTATTATCACTGGGAATTAAGATTAGTTTGTGTGGTTCTGGTCCCATTGAAAGTCTCAGACCGTCGTGTGTTCTTCTTCTTGATAGTAGGTGCAGTTTGCATGAAGGGTCGTGTGTTCAATGTGTAAACAATAGATTCAGACCTCGGGCGCTTGCTCTCCCAGCCACCGACCCCATGCTCTCTGTTGGTGGTTGACTGGCCATGATATGTTGATTCAATATTTCTCGTCTAAACGATTAATTTGAGATAAAGTGCGATTATAAGATAAATATATATTAGATTTAATGATTATAGATAGTACTTACTGTGCAAATTGATTCTTTATTTAGGATTTGAAAATAAGTCACCGGAAGCTTAAATAAGGTTCCAATAGTATTTCAATTAAGACAACTTCTTGTCGAGCTTTCTAGATCCTTGAAGATACATGAGCAAAGTCACATAGGCCTCCAGAGGCCCAATGGCAGACACGACCATTGTAGTGTTGTCATGTAGGATCCAGATGTATGATTTTAATAATTCTGATATAGGATTCAGATGTATGATATACAAATAATCCATTTGTTATGTTGACCAATCCACACACTAGAAAATGAAGGGACGACGACGTTTCGGTCCGTCCTGGACCATTCTCAAGTCGATTCTCAAGACCACTCTCAAAATCGACTTGAGAATGGTCCAGGACGGTCTGAAACGTCGTCGGCCCTTCACTTTCTAGTGTGTGGTTTGGTCAACATGTTTCAGCCACGTTATTGTGACTCCTCGTCTGCAATCCATTTTTTAGATTATTATACTGGTAGGATGGACATTGTTCTCACAGGTGGGTCCCCACACACCCCAGTTGGTCTCCAGGTACAGGAGGGTCTCTTCGTAATCTTATTATTTCACCAGAAAAGTGTCAGGTGACATCTTGCCTCTCACCTGTCAGGTTTAGGTTCCCTTAGTTCTCGTTACCACGAGGTATATATATATATATATATATATATATATATATATATATATATATATATATATATATATATATATATATATATATATATATATATATATATATATATATATATATATATATATATATATTTTTCATCATATATAACCAATGTGTTGCATATCTTGCCTTTGTCGGAACACCCGGTGTTCCATGTTCCAGAAACCGTAGACACCCGACTAACCCCTTCCGCCCCTCCCTCAGGAAACACTTGCTCAACTCGCCACTGCTGGCCCGTCGTCGTCAGCGGCGAGGCACCGTGGAGAGCAGCGACGACGAGGTGGTCCACTGCTCCAGCGACGCCGAAGTCCTCTGCTCCTCTAACTACCGGGACCTCGAGACCTTCCAGAAGACGCAGCTGAGGAACAAGGTAGAGTGGGGTCACTAGCCCTGGCATATGTTTACATTCTAATGGTAACGTCGTTTTACTATGGCCTGCTACGTTATTTACACGTTAATCCCTATTACACCATTGCCTTGCTGATGGGGTGCTTGGGTAAGGGGAAGTCCCACACCCTAGGTCAGGAGTCCCGGAACTTTCTAGGCGGTTACCAGTGTTGGGGTAGAGAGAGGTTTGGGGTAATGGAGGTCTCGGGTATTGGGAAGAGGGAGTCCGCGGGTCCTTGGATAGTGGAGTCCCAGGTTCTATGGATAATATTTTATTATTATTATTATTATTATTATTATTATTATTATTATTATTATTATTATTATTCTACCACAGACGTGGCCAGACATTTACAATGCTAACCAGCATATATACATTTTCTTCTGGCCTCCATGGACAGGGTTAGAGATTTGTTAAACATATAGTTGAGAGATTTATTGAGCAATCAACCACTGAAAGTGATTGTGAGGATCGTGGAGGAGGGATCGAAGGTCATGGGGTAGGGAGGGAGGAGGGAAAGTATTTGGAAGACGAAAAACATAAATGTAGGGGATAAGATGGAAAAGCAGAGAGAGAGAGAGAGAGAGAGAGAGAGAGAGAGAGAGAGAGAGAGAGAGAGAGAGAGAGAGAGAGTGAGGTACGCCAGTTGACAGTCCTTATGAACCCTTGTCTTAGTTTAGAAAAAAGAGAGAGAGAGATTGAGAAAGAAAGAGATCGGGTGTAAGAACAGAATAGATTGAAGGAGCAAGACAAATTATTTCTTTCCTTGTCTATCTATATATCCAGCTAATTTTCATTTGTCCTTCATTTCCTGCAAAGATGTTATATATTATACATCTATATATAAGACGTACCGTATTATTTTATTAAATGTTTCTCAACTCTTTGTCGTCTTCTCACTTATTCGTCCTCATCAGCCATAAACTAGATGTTTCCCATATATTACACTCGGCTACGATATATTACCTTCCTCACACGTCCACGACACTGTCTCACCTTCCTCACACGTCCACGACACTGTCTCACCTTCCTCACACGTCCACGACACTGTCTCACCTTCCTCACACGTCCACGACACTGTCTCACCTTCCTCACACGTCCACGACACTGTCTCACCTTCCTCACACGTCCACGACACTGTCTCACCTTCCTCACACGTCCACGACACTGTCTCACCTTCCTCACACGTCCACGACACTGTCTCACCTTCCTCACACGTCCACGACACTGTCTCACCTTCCTCACACGTCCACAACACTGTCTCACCTTCCTCACACGTCCACGACACTGTCTCACCTTCCTCACACTTCCCCAACACTCCCTCACCATCCTCACACGTCACACTATATTGTCTACCCCGACGCGCTGCCGTAGGCTCTGCAGCGTGTACAGTGTCGTCTCTCGCGTGGCCAGCAATATATTCTTATCGGCTCTCCGCTACCGGCAGCTGCGGCGGTCGCGGGGCCGCAGCGAGGGCGGCGGGTTCAGCGGGGGCGAGAGCTCCGGGTCGTCGACGCCTCGCCACCGCCAGTACGTCATGCACAACAAGGCGCCGCTCTGGAACGAGAACTCGCAGGTCTACCAGCTCGACTTCGGCGGGCGCGTCACCCAGGAGTCGGCCAAGAACTTCCAGATCGAGTTTAAGGGCAAGCAGGTGAGAGAGAGATGAGAAGAATTAAGAGTGAATACAGGGCATGAGGGGAGGGAAGGGAAGGAAGTATATTGTGAAGGATTGAAGAACGATTTGGAAGTATAGAGAGGAGCAACGGGATATAAGGAGAAAGAGGAAGATATATACCTCGATCCATATCATCCTGTAATCCATTCTCTCTCTCGGCAGGTGATGCAGTTCGGGAGGATCGACGGCAATGCCTACACGCTGGACTTCCAGTATCCGTTCAGCGCGGTGCAGGCTTTCGCTGTGGCCCTCGCCAATGTTACACAGAGGCTGAAATGATATAGGATGCACCCAGAGAGCCAGGTGTGTATAGTGGCCTCCCCAGGTGTGGAGTGGCCACCCCAGGTGTGTAGGGGCCACCCCAGGTGTGTAGTGGCCACCCCAGGTGTGTAGGGGACACCCCAGGTGTGTAGGGGCCACCCTACGTTAAGGGACACTAATTTATATATTGCTTGAGAAATGAAAAGGGACTCTGTAGAAGACCTATTGGCCTACGTAGGTGAGACATTCTCCTCCACCCCACGTCCATTTTCTATTATTTCCAATGCCAGCTTTTACTATTATGTTCATCCATTTAAGGCCATTAATATTTCATTTTTGAGGTCTGTGTAGTTGACATGGACTATTGCTCCTTTTCTCGTAATTTCCTGTTGGATTTGTCCATTCTATTTAACTCAAATTTAAATCACCTATTATTACATATTATTACATTTTGATGCTTCTGTATAGATATGTTTTCCCCTCTAATCTGTGGTTTGGTGGTCTGTATAAGTCTATATATAAGACTTATACTATTAGCATATCTTTAGCTTCACTTAGGTCACTCCCAGTTCTGCATAAGCAGAGTATACTGTATGATAGGACCTGTTAAGGCAGAGGAGAAAGTATCTAAACCGTTTGGTAATGTTTAATTTATGGCTTATGATAGTATGTGTGAGATAGCTGGGAGTGAGGAAGCTGGGAGTGTGTGAGATAGCTGGGAGTGTGTGAGGAAGCTGGGAGTGTGTGAGATAGCTGGGAATGTGTGAGGAAGCTGGGAGTGTGTGAGATAGCTGGGAGTGAGGAAGCTGGGAGTGTGTGAGATAGCTGGGAGTGTGTGAGGAAGCTGGGAGTGTGTGAGATAGCTGGGAGTGTGTGAGATAGCTGGGAGTGTGTGAGGAAGCTGGGAGTGTGTGAGGTAGCTGGGAGTGAGGAAGCTGGGAGTGTGTGAGGTAGCTGGGAGTGTGTGAGATAGCTGGGAGTGTGTGAGGAAGCTGGGAGTGTGTGAGGTAGCTGGGAGTGAGGAAGCTGGGAGTGTGAGGATGCGGAGAGTGAGTGTAAGGATGCACTTCGGAGTTCGTAAAATTATTAAATAAGAACTTAGCCGCCATAAATGATGAGGCGTAAGTACTTGATGAATCCTGATCTCTCGCAAACATTCCTGTATATTAAAAATTTAATTTTATCTATAATTGTTCTTGTATATATATATATATATATATATATATATATATATATATATATATATATATATATATATATATATATATATATATATATATATATATATATATATGTCGTACCTAGTAGCCAGAACGCACTTCTCGGCCTACTATGCAAGGCCCGATTTGCCTAATAAGCCAAGTTTTCCTGAATTAATATATTTTCTCTAATTTTTTTCTTATGAAATGATAAAGCTATCCATTTCATTATGTATGAAGTCAATTTTTTTATTGGAGTTAAAATTAACGTAGATATATGACTGAACCTAACCAACCCTACCTAACCTAACCTAACCTATCTTTATAGGTTAGGTTAGGTTAGGTAGCCGAAAAAGTTAGGTTAGGTTAGGTTAGGTAGGTTAGGTAGTCGAAAAACAATTATTTCATGAAAACTTGGCTTACTAGGCAAATCGGGCCTTGCATAGTAGGCCGAGTACGACGTTCTGGCTACTAGGTACAATATATATATATATATATATATATATATATATATATATATATATATATATATATATATATATATGTCGTACCTAATAGCCAGAACGCACTTCTCAGCCTACTATTCAAGGCCCGATTTGCCTAATAAGCCAAGTTTTCATGAATTAATGTTTTTTCGTCTACCTAACCTACCTAACCTAACCTAACCTAGCTTTTTTTTGGCTACCTAACCTAACCTTACCTATAAATATAGGTTAGGTTAGGTTAGGTAGGGTTGGTTAGGTTCGGTCATATATCTACGTTAATTTTAACTCCAATAAAAAAAATTGACCTCATACATAGAGAAAAGGGTTGCTTTATCATTTCATAAGAAAAAAACTATAGTAAATATATTAATTCAGGAAAACTTGGCTTATTAGGCAAATCGGGCCTTGAATAGTAGGCTGAGAAGTGAGTTCTGGCTACTAGGTACGACATATATATATATATATATATATATATATATATATATATATATATATATATATATATATATATATATATATATATATTTCTGGTATGTCAAGAGGAGTACAGGCTGGATCACGATACACTCTGTCGGCTATCATTCCGATTGTCTCGTCCACAGGTACGTTGGTAAACAGCGATTCTACGTCCAACGAGGCTCTTATCCCTGTGGCCCGTGTGCCCCGCAGTAAGTCAACAAATTCCTTTGGAGACTTCAGGCTGAAGGCGCAAGGAACATAAGGAGTCAGCAGGCCGTTGAGTCGCTTCGCCAGTCTGTACGTGGGTGTGGGTATCTGGCTAATGATTGGCCGAAGTGGGTTTCCAACCCACTTGGAAACCCACTTCGGCCAATCATTAGCCAGATACCCACACCCACGTACAGACTGGCGAAGCGACTCAACGGCCTGCTGACTCCTTATGTTCCTTGCGCCTTCAGCCTGAAGTCTCCAAAGAAATTTGTTGACTTACTGCGGGGCACACGGGCCACAGGGATAAGAGCCTCGTTGGACGTAGAATCGCTGTTTACCAACGTACCTGTGGACGAGACAATCGGAATGATAGCCGACAGAGTGTATCGTGATCCAGCCTGTACTCCTCTTGACATACCAGAATATATATATATATATATATATATATATATATATATATATATATATATATATATATATATACATATATATTCTTGTCTTGCAGACCGCACACAGCCACAGTGTTGTGGTTCTCGAGTTCTGGTGACGTCACATCCTGCGCTGAAGTTGCCAGAGGCTGCTGCGAGAGATTTCTGTGTTCTTCTGGTGAAAAGAAAATAGGTTGTTATGAACGTTATTAAGTTGGTTGAGTGTTGCTGCGAGGGAGGTCAAGGAGGTGATACGAACACAGTGGCGTTGAAGGTGGAGGAGACTACGAGACAGCTGGCAGTGTTGACGGGTTAGAAAAGATACAAGACAGGTGTCTGCGTGGCTGTCGTGTCAGTGCCTGAGGTATAATGACGCTCACTTTGTCCGCGTATATACATTTTCTTGTGTGTGTGTGTGTGTGTGTGTGTGTGTGTGTGTGTGTGTGTGTGTGTGTGTGTGTGTGTGTGTGTGTTTAGACAGTTTGCCATTTGATATAGTGACACTGCTGACAATATTTGTATGTGATACTATTTATTGCTTTTACTACGAGCAAAGATACGCTGTACATTACGTTAGCAATACGTCTGTTTCCACTTTAGCTTATAAGGCCGTGTGGTCTACGTTGCCGGTTCGTAATGAATTTTTAATCTTCGTTCATGACTGCAAGAAATATCGTTTTTGTTTTTTTTATAGCTGTTATGTTATAAAACGTGAACGATGATGACCAGGACATGGACTTTTATGACTGGAAAACGTCCACAACAAAAAAAAAAAAATCTCACGTGCTTCGTCAGAGGCAAGAATATAGTTGATCTCAAGAGTCTTCTAGTCACTGGTAGGTCTTGTCTAGGGGCAAGCCAGCTCGTCCTCATCCCTTCACCTCGAACCCCCATTTCTTCAGCGTCTTACAAGACACAGCTGCCGGATCTCAGCAGCTGCACAGGACCAGCTTCTTGGGTGACACTCGGGCGTTGATGGAGCCCCAAAAATAATGTTGAAATTGAATGGAAATTTTATGGTTGTTGTGCTCTTAAGGAGATGTGGGGGGAACAGGGCCTTCGATCTGGGGAACCTTTGTGGGGGTCTTGAACCACCTCATGGGGACCTCAGGGGGTCTTGGCCTCAGCTATGGGGACCTCAGGGGGTCTTGGCCTCAGCTATGGGGACCTCAGGGAGAGGGGACGTGGCTTCCGTTATGGGGGTGGGGGACCGTTTGCAGTTTGCGGTGCTTCATGGATTGGAATATTTTGCACTTTAAAGTATAAATATTATTTTATTGTTAAAGTTTCTTTAGTGCATAACAAGAAGATAAAGTGATATTATGCTTAGTTGGCATTTGGGGAATGTAGAAAGTGTGATGACCTGCCTTGTGTGTCGCCAGGTGTGGAGGGAGGTAAGGTGAGGCAGGTGTGGAGGGAGGTAAGGTGAGGCAGGTGTGGAGGGAGGTAAGGTGAGGCAGGTCTGGAGGGAGGTAAGGTGAGGCAGGTGTGGAGGGAGGTAAGGTGAGGCAGGTGTGGAGGGAGGTAAGGTGAGGCAGGTGTGGAGGGAGGTAAGGTGAGGCAGGTGTGGAGGGGGGAGACTCACAGTTCCCTCAGAGGCTGAACTATAGTCACATCACACACTCCACTCAGCCACTGGTTAAAGCCGAGGAAAAAGTGTAAATGTGTTCCCCCCTTTCTTGAACGTTTACTACCTGACCTGTAATCTTAGTGACCATTTACCGTTATAACCCTTGACCACGCTGACCCCTTGACCACGCCGACCCCTTGACCACGCCGACCCCTTGACCACGCTGACCCCTTGACCCCTTGACCACACTGACTCTTGACCACACTGACTCTTGACCACACTGACTCTTGACCAAAGGGACCACTTAATAAGCACTATGGCAGAGGTGTCGGAACCACTTGTGTTACATAGAGACAGACTAAGCCAAAGTTATGGAAGTTGGTACCAGTATGGTACCAGTATTGTACCAGTATAGTACCACAGTACCAGTATAGTACCACAGTACCAGTATAGTACCACAGTACCAGTATAGTTCCACAGTACCAGTATAGTTCCACAGTACCAGTATAGTACCACAGTACCAGTATAGTACCACAGTACCAGTATAGTTCCACAGTACCAGTATAGTACCACAGTACCAGTATAGTTCCACAGTACCAGTATAGTTCCACAGTACCAGTATAGTACCACAGTACCAGTATAGTACCACAGTACCAGTATAGTTCCACAGTACCAGTATAGTTCCACAGTACCAGTATAGTTCCACAGTACCAGTATAGTTCCACAGTACCAGCATGATGCCACAATGATGCACACCAAGATTGCTCTGAGTTGCCCTGCTCTCCAATTAACGTGTTTCTTGCACTAAGCTTTAAAACTGTTATTAATTTGTAAGGATTTCCCCCCCCCTTCAAAAAGTTACTTAACCAAAACTAGGGCCAGGATTCGCCAAGCATTTACACAATTACTTGCGAAACCTGTTCATCTGTCCGCAATAATAATGGCTTTGTTTACATTTATCAAACAGTTTATGAGCTCCGCGGCATTACGAGAGTCTTTATAACAATAGTGATCTAAGAGGTTGTTACGTACCAAGCCGACACGATACAAGAAAGATGTACGGGTTTCGCAAGTGCTTGCGTTAATGATTTGGTGACTCTTGGCTCAAGGCGGCGATTTTGCTTCTTTTATTTCGAATTGTTAAAGAAAAGGTCTTTCTTCTTTGGCTCTTCCGTCTTTTATATATATTTAAAGTTTGTCTGTCTGTGGTCTTTACTGATGTAAGTTAATTCAACTTCACGACCAACCAAAGCTGAAGTAGTTTCCCACGACGCGTGAACGAGACTTAACGAGACCAAACGACACGTGAACGAGACCTAACGAGGCCTAACGACACGTGAACGAGACTTAACGAGGCCTAACGACACGTGAACGAGACTTAACGAGGCCTAACGACACGTGAACGAGACTTAACGAAGCGTAACAACACGTGAACGAGACTTAACGAGGCCTAACGACACGTGAACGAGACCTAACGAGGCCTAACGACACGTGAACGAGACTTAACGAGGCCTAACGACACGTGAACGAGACTTAACGAGGCCTAACGATACGTGAACGAGAGCTTACGTTAACATTACAATCTTCTCCCAGTTCATTAGCCAACAATTTCTCGGGCAATTTTCAATTGAATATAATTCTTATCAAGTCTTTCAAGAGCATCTTACTCATAAGAAAAACTTGGCTCACGATATAAAGACTGATTTATAAAAACATGAGCTTATATAATATTGGCTCACGCCAAAGACTGACAGCACAATAAAGACTGACTCACGACAAAGACTGACTCACGACAAAGACTGACTCACAGCCTTAGGTCGTCAGACTTGACGGGGCCTCAAGACACCCCAGTACCCATGGCCAGACGCCTCGGCTCCTCTGTAAATATCTTCAGCAGCTAGTCCATCCCAAACACTGCGCAGCTATTGTGTACAATGTGCATAGAGGCTAGAACACTTGTATACATACCATTACAGGAAATGTACACGTGTACTTATTTACTTAATTATTTGAAGCTACTTTGCAAAAAGAACAAAAACAAGAAAAACCGGAGAGTGGTTAGAAGATTGTCTTTGAACGAGGTAGAGTGATTAAGAGTTCAGATATTTGTTGATAAAAGCACGATTTTATGTTTTTTTGTTATATTAGAAGGGGAGAATGTAACTAATGAAAATGGAATTAAAATAATCGTGAGGCAGAAAGACAAGCAAGAGAGAGAGAGAGAGAGAGAGAGAGAGAGAGAGAGAGAGAGAGAGAGAGAGAGAGAGAGAGAGAGAGAGAGAGAGAGAGAGAGAGAGAGAGAGAGATGAGTGTGTGGATGGGACACAAGACAAATGACAACCTAAGGTGTAAAACACGGGTAAAACATGTGTGTGTGTAAAGGTACAATTGTCAGGTGTTTGGGGGAAGTGTCATGTGATCTTGCCCTCCTCGGCCAGGCCCCAGGGATTAATCCAAACTTTGCGTGTACACTTTACGAAACATGTACATCTTTCCTCGATCATGTCAGCTCCGTCTGTGTTTATGAAGCAGTGTATAAGCTGGCCAATACTGCTGCAAAGTCGTTCCCGACGTGAGGCTTTTGCTGTTTATACATAGCCTCATAACTCATATTATTCCATAAATGCCAACAAGACCGTCACGATTGATGAAAAGATGCACAGACTTCGTAAGTGGGCGCGTAAGTACTTGGTGACACCTGGCTCAGCACACACACCTGTGCATGATGTGCAATTCTGGACACAGTTATCAACATTTTTGCTACAGTTGCAGAGTGCAGCAGTCATTCTAAGCCATTTATAGACCCCCACGCAACATCTGCTGGGATTAAAGAAGTTTTTTGGGTAAAGCTTAGAGTGTGTACATTCATTAACACTTCACAGTAGGTAATGTCAGCGAGCATTTTTAAAGAAGATTTACGCAATAAGAACAAATGTTTTGGACCACTTTCAAATGTTCACGCAAGACAAACTTTTGTTATATCTGATTCTTTGGCCCAGCCACACTATGATAACCTTAGGATAATATAGCTGTACCAGAACACTATAACTGTACCAGAACACTATAACTGTACCAGAACACTATAACTGTACCAGAACACTATTGTACATTATGAGTATACAAAAATGTAGTAAACTGTTGGTTAAATCTAAGTAGGAAGGGAGCCAAGTGTATGAACTAATTTTGAACCAGGATTCACGAAGCCTTTACGCGATCATTTACGAAACCTTTGCATCTTTACTCAATCACTGTGGCCGTGCTGACATTTATTAAACAAATTACGGTCACCTGAGCACAACGACCTTGTTTATAACCCTAATATCCTCGCGTTGTAAGGTTTCAAAGCTAATCAACTCATTAATAAATGTATCTAAAACTTGAAGGAAAGAGGCACAGGTTTCGTAAGAGGTGAGGGGGGAATGATGAATCTCCTTACAGATGAAGGGAGCGCGTATTCCCCGTCTGAGTAAGAGCGCCTGGGAATCCCTGCGTGTCTTAGACAGAATTGATTAGTGTCATCACGCCCTGTCCCGCCACGCAGCAAAGGTGGTTCCTGTGGGGATTTGGTCGTATAAACTGTCAATTGCGGCCAGTGACGGGTAGGGACACGTAAGTGTTCGGGCTCTTGATATTGAACACTTATAGGCATTAATTTCTTGGGTATTTGGACGACCTCGAAGGGGGGGCATTAATCTGTGGTTATTTTGATCTCGATGGGCATTAATCTGTGGGCATTTTCACCCCCGCGGGCATTGGGCATACTATCGCCAACTGGTGTTGTGTAGGTTGCCAGCTTCTGCTATGAGGTTTCCATCTGCTGTTGTGAGGGTTTCCCAACTAGTGTTGTGAGGTTTCCATCTGCTGTTGTGAGGGTTTCCCAACTAGTGTTGTGAGGTTTCCATCTGGTGTTATGGACGTCTAGAAAGCCTTAGAAAATGTTCCATGATAATATAAAACAAATATTCTCCACCAGTTAAAGAGTTATTGTGCACATTGTGTACTTCTAGTGTGTTACACTAGTGGGGTCTGAGTACATCTAGTGTGTTACACTAGTGGGGTCTGTGTACTTCTAGTGTGTTACACTAGTGGTGTCTGAGTACTTCTAGTGTGTTACACTAGTGGTGTCTGTGTACTTCTAGTGTGTTACACTAGTGGTGTCTGAGTACATCTAGTGTGTTACACTAGTGGGGTCTGTGTACATCTAGTGTGTTACACTAGTGGGGTCTGAGTACATCTAGTGTGTTACACTAGTGGGGTCTGAGTACATCTAGTGTGTTACACTAGTGGGGTCTGAGTACATCTAGTGTGTTACACTAGTGGGGTCTGAGTACATCTAGTGTGTTACACTAGTGGGGTCTGTGTACATCTAGTGTGTTACACTAGTGGTGTCTGTGTACATCTAGTGTGTTACACTAGTGGGTTCTGAGTACATCTAGTGTGTTACACTAGTGGGGTCTGTGTATACCTAGTGTGTTACACTAGTGGGGTCTGAGTACATCTAGTGTGTTACACTAGTGGGGTCTGAGTACATCTAGTGTGTTACACTAGTGGTGTCTGTGTACATCTAGTGTGTTACACTAGTGGGGTCTGAGTACATCTAGTGTGTTACACTAGTGGGGTCTGAGTACATCTAGTGTGTTACACTAGTGGGGTCTGTGTATACCTAGTGTGTTACACTAGTGGTGTCTGAGTACATCTAGTGTGTTACACTAGTGGGGTCTGTGTACATCTAGTGTGTTACACTAGTGGGGTCTGAGTACATCTAGTGTGTTACACTAGTGGGGTCTGAGTACATCTAGTGTGTTACACTAGTGGGGTCTGAGTACATCTAGTGTGTTACACTAGTGGGGTCTGAGTACATCTAGTGTGTTACACTAGTGGGGTCTGTGTATACCTAGTGTGTTACACTAGTGGGGT